GTGTCCGAGTGTTGACATGCCAAATATACTCCCGCTCTTGTATGGCAATGAGAAAACAAATTTGCAAATACGTCTGGTTGCTATCGATCGCAGGATTTCGACTCCCATATCGCATTATTGCGAGCTATTGATTGCAACAGATATTCACTTGATTAAATTTGCTATATTTTATGCAAACAGTATGTTGTAAAACGCAAATTCGCTGGAAATTTGCCCTGCTCTCGGTATCCCCGTTTTCACCCTTGATAATTCCTGATGATAAACTTTCTCTTGTTCATAATCATGAGTCATCGTGTTATTCTGTTTTTCTTGTTCATACCCGTTTCCTTGTAAACTGCGGCTAAGCCCCATATTGCTAATTTAGAGTAATCTTTTTCATTCGCATTGTCATAATTTACACTATTTTTTGATGAGGTGAGGAAACGAGAAATTAAGAGACATATAATAATAAAAATAATGTCAAATGAAAACAAGAATTATAAACAAAAATAAACAAAAAAAATGAAAATAATATAATAATAAAAATTAAAAAATAATAATAATAACAATAAAACGAAAAAACAGTTTTCCGTTGACAAAGATAATTATGGTTGACTGAGTCGGTTTTAATTTGTCTAATCACATCGTTACTTTAATAATTCATGACGCTGAGCAACACGACCACTGCTGGTGAACACACTCTTTTCATTTCATTCTGCGATTGTCGGCACGTCTCTGATCATACTACTAGGCCTATGAAAATAATATTATGACAATACTAAATTAAAACCGTAGCCAATCGATCACATCGACCCAGTAATAAAGTGGGGGTCAGGTCAAGGGGCGCTGGTGTAATGGGAGGGGGAGGCACCGGACTTATTATATGGATTAAACGCTAAATTTGGAAACCTTTAAGAGCATGGAAGGGGCTTGTATTGACTTTTTTCATCTCCCATTTGTCATAGTATATATCATATATATATATATATATATATATATACGTATATATATACATATATCTGTTTCTCTCTCTTAATATTTCTTTAGATGCCGGCGGGGGGGGGGGGGGGTGAAAGGGATAGAATACATTTGTAATGGGTACTACATATATGTCATACAAGTGACTTTTAATACTTCCATTTGAAATCCTCGCAACACATAGTCCGTTTTCATTAAGTACTCACAATTGAATGTTGTCGATGAAATTAGGTCATGACGCATTCCATAATTTATGGGCCACACCAGAACCATTCTATTGGTATAGGAACTAAACCTTCTCTATCAAACGGGAAAATGGCGGGTCTGAAGCAAAAACCAACACTGGGAACTTTAATTTTCCTCTCTTTTTCCCCGTTTTGTAACAGACTTCGTACATTTTTCATTTTTTAGGGTTCTTGTTTTGGTTTGCGATTTTCTACTGCACTACTATATAATCTAAATAAACGTGCGCAACCAACACATTACACAATAGATCTTTAAAAGATATTAGTTTGGCATAAAAACCCATTTACTTTTAGCCTGTCATCATCATTGTACATGAAGGCTGCGGCGTAACTAGGGTACAAGGGGGCCCTGGGGGTGCTTCTCCATCAAATGGCAAACAAAGTTTCAAAAAAGGAAAAAATAAGGAAAATGAATAGGGGAAAGGAAGTGTAAAGGAGGTCGCCACGATCCCCTGTTGCCCCCTAGATAATGGCCTTGTATATTGTGCTTAATCTATTTAAATTAGACCATCCCATGGTGTCAGTGCCATCTCAATGTTTGAACCTATGCTACTCCACTTCAAGAGGAAAACCATAAAAGATAACCTATCACTCGCGATTGAGATCCCTTACCAAAGCAAAAACATTAATCGTCGTATATATTACTTCATGTCTGCGACATAAATGGATGAATTCATATTTGCATTCAGGTGCCCGACGATGGCGGCATGCCTGCTGAGGAGGCACTTGTTCATCTCCCGGTTAAAAGCAAAAGAGTCGCACATTGGATTGGCTAAACATTTTATTCCACATTTTACGGCCGTCTTGATGTTGTAGTGCACTGATATGCTGTATGCCTCGATCACGGATTGGTATGCGTACTTAATTTTAAACATCAAATCCCTGCTCCTGGTGAAAGATGGAGTCATAGATGACGTAATATCTGTTGTAAAAATATAAACATTCAGAGAAAAGCCTGATGATCTGTTTCATATCATTCAGGTTGTTGTTCTAAATTTGTCTTTAGTAGAACCCTAATTAACGTTTCAGTTTATTATACATGTATTTGAGTATGTATCAATAAAAATGTGACAACCTTCCTTTCCCCCTTGTCAGAGAATTTTGGACTTGTGACCCCCCCCCCCCTGCTCTCCGACAAAGAACACTATCACTACACTAGAGACCTTTGTTTTCATTATTAATATATGGATTGTCTCAATTGTTGTCCATGCAATATTCGATTTTATTCATTTCGTTGGTTTGCATGAAGAGGTCATGTATGCTGACGCTGATGGGGTTGTTGATAATGAGAATGATTTTGCATATAAAGTGGATATTTTAGGTTTCCAAGATAGCGTTTTTTGATTTCGCTGATGATACTGATGATTTCCTTATATATTATTCCTTCTAGGGACACTGCAGACTTTCTGAATTCAAGAGCCTTGATAGCATGCAAAGCCATTTTTATCCCCCATCCCCTAATTAACTACAAAATATATATACACATTTTTTTTAAACCGAATTATTAGAGACCTGTCTTATAAAACAGTTGTGATCCATCGCAAATTATTTGCAATTATGTACAAAACAAATAAGAGACTCTAAGCTTGTGATTGATAAGAGGACTTGCGATGGATCCGAATCAATCGCAACTCTTTATAAGGCGGGGCCCAGATAAAGATATGTGTCTGCACTGACTAAAAATGATTTTGATTCATGCTTTTGCTTTGAAATGTGGTTATTTCTGCAGTACATAGAATGGGGGCATGGTTGTAAAAGTCTCAAGATTTATGTATATAGAATAGATAAAATTATAAGAGAAAGTGTTCCCTACAATTTCAGAAAAAGCTTTAATTCTGCGGAAAGTTTTTGTCACATGTTTACCCATACCAATAATAAACCTACTGACCCAAAATATATTTTCCTCAATTACCCAATGAATAGTATATTAAAATACTAACCGTATTGTGTCGAAGAAGCTGTGTTCAACGTTGATGATGTGGTACCAACCGTTGCGGTTGTTTGGGTCGGTACTTCTGTAGTGTCTGAGGTGGTTGTCTCCGTTGGCAAATCTGACGTCTGTAAAGGGAAAGATCGGCTCAACATGGTGTTCAACGATACGGTTGACTCGGATTGTGTGGTAGCAACAGTGGAAGTCAACAGGGTCGTTTCTCCAGGTGTTTGTATATCGGATGCCTGCGATGGTGTAGATGTGCTTTGAGTAGTAGATCCCGAGCTTACTGACAATGTTGTCTCAGATCGTGTGGTAGCAACATTCGACGTTGACTCGATCGACTCTTCAGTCGTGTGTACATCTGATGTTTCTGATGGAATATCTGAGGTCTGATTATCGAGCGGTGTACTTTGCATTGTTGTTGAAGAATCTTGTTTGTACGACGATGATGTAGATCCAGCATCGGATGCCTGCAACGATGTAGATGTGCTTTGAGTAGTAGATCCCGAGCTAACTGACAATGTTGTCTCGGATCGTGTGGTAGCAACATTCGAGGTTGACTCGATCGAGTCTTCAGTAGTCGGCACAACAGATCTTTGCGATGAGGTGGATGAGATTTCAATGGCAGGGAACTCTGAGCTCACTGGCACAATCGGTTCAGATTGTGTGGTCGCAACATTTGAGGTTGACTCGATCAACTCTCCAGTAGTATGTACGTTGGACGTCTGTAGTGGGAAGGGTGTCCTTGTCACCGTTGTCGAAAAAGCTGACGTTACAAAATATGATGGTTCAGATACTAAGGTTGTATCAATATCCAAAATGTCTGATGCAGACTGGGTCGACTCTTCAGTAATCAGTAATTCTTTTGTCGTCGTTGGAATATCTGAGGTCTGGGTAGCGAATGGTGTGTTTTGCATTGTTGTTGAAGAATCTGTTTTCAACAGCATTGATGTGGTAGCAACATCTGATGTTACCCGTGTCGAATCTTCAGTACTGTACCCATCGGATGTATGTGATGGGATGGATATGCTTTTCGTTATTGTCAGAAAGCCTGAGTTCACCGACACGGATGACTGTGATGATGTAGTGGCAACATCTGGCGTTGTCTGTGTCGTCTCTTCGCTGACTACAAAATCAAAGTTTTGCGTTGTGTCGGGTGTATGTTCCATTGTTGTGAAAGAAGTTGAGGTAATGGTAACATCCGATTCATCAGACGTTGTAGCAACATCTGATGTTGACTGCGTCTGGCGGGGGATGGATGTGCTTTCCAAGTTTGCAAAAGCAGCAGAATGTAACGATACTGTTGAGACAGATAGAGTTGTGGCATCATCTGGCGTCGATGGGATTGACTGTTCAGAACTGAGTGTATCTTTAGCCGTTGTAGACATATCTGAGGCCTCCTCTGTTGTTGCAGAATCCGAGTTCAATGATGATGATGTAGGAACATTTGAGGTCGGCACACCGGTTGTGGCAACAGCAGTAACAATAATTGAAAATCCCGTTCTTGTAACGCTACGGTCCGTGGTGAAGTGAATCCATAAGTTGTTGACAGGAGATACAAGTGTAGACGGGTAAGATGTTCCGGTAAGATTAGCTAGTAAGGTGCGGCTACTAAAACCAGGAGTGGATTCATACTCTAACACAAGAAAGTCATAGCTGCAAATGAAAACAAAGGGGAAATGGGGATCGAAAGTGAATCACAATCACATTTGCAAATTTGCGCACTTATTACCTATAAGAAAGGGCCACTTAATTATTTTTAACTTGCACTTAAATTTTTGCATAAATAATACCCAATTAATTGTATTACTTCTCTTTTGCTTTTATATCATCAGCACCAGTGTTGCTCTTCCCGAGGGCCCTGCAATTAGTATTACACCAGCGACTGTCGGCCCGACAAAATGGGTACCCGACAATGTCTAAAAAAAAAAACAATCTTACTTTGTTTCAAGACTGAAATATTCGAATTCCACGTTTATGGTATGGTCCATTGGGGCGATGATATACCCGGAGAGGTCGAGATCATTATCGTAGTTGGATGGATAATTTGGAGACTGAATTATCGTAGAATTTCCCGATGTAAGATAAATAACATTATCTGTAAAGATAAACAACATAATTATACAAAACAGGTATATAAGTATATTTCTTATCAATGAAATTACGTATATCATCATTAATACTCTCATTCTTCTATGAATGTTATTGTTATAATTGTAATTTCCATTCTAATTTCACTATAAGCAGTTTTATCATTATAATTTTTTTCTAAGTACATAATGAAACTGTATAGATGGGCTACTAAAACGGAATGTGAATCTGTAGAGTAGACAATTTACAGTTTTGATTTTAAAAAAAATTGATATTAAGCGGCCGATCTGATTAATATGTGGTGGTGGTGGTGGTGGTGATTATTTTACGTTAAAGCTAAGAAAGCAATAAATGCTTGTTAGTAAGCATCCGATTATTTTATAGATGAGATGATTCATGGCTCTAATTGTCTTTATAAACAAGGAGTATTAAGACTTACCAGATTGATCAGTTGTGGTGGGTAGGTCAGATTCAGACTCAGTGGTTTGGACATCTGATACCATTTTTGAGATTGAGATGCTTTCTGATGTTGTCGAGGAAGTCGAATTAAGTGAAGCATTTGACTCTGAAGATGTAGCACTACTCGATGTTGAAGCTGTTGTGAAAGAAGTTGAGGTAATGGTAACAGCTGATTCATCAGATGTTGTAGCCACATCTGATGTTGACTGCGTCAGCTTATGAGTGGTGCGAATATCAGATGTCTGCGATGGAATGGTTGTGCCTTTCATGTTTGCAAAAGAAGCAGAGTAAAGCGATACTGTTGAGACAGATGGAGTTGTGGCATCACCTGGCGTCGATGGGATTGACTGTTCAGAACTGAGTGTATCTTTAGCCGTTGTAGAAATATCTGAGGTCTCCTCAGCGAGTGGCGTGCTTTTAACTGTTGTTGCAGAATCTGAGTTAAATGATGATGATGTAGGAACATTTGAGGTCGGCACACCGGCTGTGGCAACAGCAGTAACAATAATTGAAAATCCCGTTCTTGTAATGGTATGGTCCGTGGTGAAGTGAATCCACAAGTTGTTGACAGGAGAAACAAGGGTAGACGGGTAAGATGTTCCGGTAAGATTAGCTAGTAAGGTGCGGCTACTAAAACCAGTGGTGGATTCATACTCAAACCCAAGAAAGTCATAGCTGCATAAGAAAACAAAGGGGAAATGGGGATCGAAAGTGAATCACAATCACATTTGCAAATTTGCGCACTTATTACCTATAAGAAAGGGCCACTTAATTATTTTTAACTTGCACTTAAATTTTTGCATAAATAATACCCAATTAATTGTATTACTTCTCTTTTGCTTTTATATCATCAGCACCAGTGTTGCTCTTCCCGAGGGCCCAGCAATTAGTATTACACCAGCGACTGTCGGCCCGACAAAATGGGTACCCGACAATGTCTAAAAAAAAAAAACAATCTTACTTTGTTTCAAGACTGAAATATTCGAATTCCACGTTTATGGTATGGTCCATTGGGGCGATGATATACCCGGAGAGGTCGAGATCATTATCGTAGTTGGATGGATAATTTGGAGACTGAATTATCGTAGAATTTCCCGATGTAAGATAAATAACATTATCTGTAAAGATAAACAACATAATTATACAAAACAGGTATATAAGTATATTTCTTATCAATGAAATTACGTATATCATCATTAATACTCTCATTCTTCTATGAATGTTATTGTTATAATTGTAATTTCCATTCTAATTTCACTATAAGCAGTTTTATCATTATAATTTTTTTCTAAGTACATAATGAAACTGTATAGATGGGCTACTAAAACGGAATGTGAATCTGTAGAGTAGACAATTTACAGTTTTGATTTTAAAAAAAATTGATATTAAGCGGCCGATCTGATTAATATGTGGTGGTGGTGGTGGTGGTGATTATTTTACGTTTAAGCTAAGAAAGCAATAAATGCTTGTTAGTAAGCATCCGATTATTTTATAGATGAGATGATTCATGGCTCTAATTGTCTTTATAAACAAGGAGTATTAAGACTTACCAGATTGATCAGTTGTGGTGGGTAGGTCAGATTCAGACTCAGTGGTTTGGACATCTGATACCATTTTTGAGATTGAGATGCTTTCTGATGTTGTCGAGGAAGTCGAATTAAGTGAAGCATTTGACTCTGAAGATGTAGCACTACTCGATGTTGAAGCTGTTGTGAAAGAAGTTGAGGTAATGGTAACAGCTGATTCATCAGATGTTGTAGCCACATCTGATGTTGACTGCGTCAGCTTATGAGTGGTGCGAATATCAGATGTCTGCGATGGAATGGTTGTGCCTTTCATGTTTGCAAAAGAAGCAGAGTAAAGCGATACTGTTGAGACAGATGGAGTTGTGGCATCACCTGGCGTCGATGGGATTGACTGTTCAGAACTGAGTGTATCTTTAGCCGTTGTAGAAATATCTGAGGTCTCCTCAGCGAGTGGCGAGCTTTTAACTGTTGTTGCAGAATCTGAGTTAAATGATGATGATGTAGGAACATTTGAGGTCGGCACACCGGCTGTGGCAACAGCAGTAACAATAATTGAAAATCCCGTTCTTGTAATGGTATGGTCCGTGGTGAAGTGAATCCACAAGTTGTTGACAGGAGAAACAAGGGTAGACGGGTAAGATGTTCCGGTAAGATTAGCTAGTAAGGTGCGGCTACTAAAACCAGTGGTGGATTCATACTCAAACCCAAGAAAGTCATAGCTGCATAAGAAAACAAAGGGGAAATGGGGATCGAAAGTGAATCACAATCACATTTGCAAATTTGCGCACTTATTACCTATAAGAAAGGGCCACTTAATTATTTTTAACTTGCACTTAAATTTTTGCATAAATAATACCCAATTAATTGTATTACTTCTCTTTTGCTTTTATATCATCAGCACCAGTGTTGCTCTTCCCGAGGGCCCAGCAATTAGTATTACACCAGCGACTGTCGGCCCGACAAAATGGGTACCCGACAATGTCTAAAAAAAAAAAACAATCTTACTTTGTTTCAAGACTGAAATATTCGAATTCCACGTTTATGGTATGGTCCATTGGGGCGATGATATACCCGGAGAGGTCGAGATCATTATCGTAGTTGGATGGATAATTTGGAGACTGAATTATCGTAGAATTTCCCGATGTAAGATAAATAACATTATCTGTAAAGATAAACAACATAATTATACAAAACAGGTATATAAGTATATTTCTTATCAATGAAATTACGTATATCATCATTAATACTCTCATTCTTCTATGAATGTTATTGTTATAATTGTAATTTCCATTCTAATTTCACTATAAGCAGTTTTATCATTATAATTTTTTTCTAAGTACATAATGAAACTGTATAGATGGGCTACTAAAACGGAATGTGAATCTGTAGAGTAGACAATTTACAGTTTTGATTTAAAAAAAAATTGATATTAAGCGGCCGATCTGATTAATATGTGGTGGTGGTGGTGGTGGTGATTATTTTACGTTTAAGCTAAGAAAGCAATAAATGCTTGTTAGTAAGCATCCGATTATTTTATAGATGAGATGATTCATGGCTCTAATTGTCTTTATAAACAAGGAGTATTAAGACTTACCAGATTGATCAGTTGTGGTGGGTAGGTCAGATTCAGACTCAGTGGTTTGGACATCTGATACCATTTTTGAGATTGAGATGCTTTCTGATGTTGTCGAGGAAGTCGAATTAAGTGAAGCATTTGACTCTGAAGATGTAGCACTACTCGATGTTGAAGCTGTTGTGAAAGAAGTTGAGGTAATGGTAACAGCTGATTCATCAGATGTTGTAGCCACATCTGATGTTGACTGCGTCAGCTTATGAGTGGTGCGAATATCAGATGTCTGCGATGGAATGGTTGTGCCTTTCATGTTTGCAAAAGAAGCAGAGTAAAGCGATACTGTTGAGACAGATGGAGTTGTGGCATCACCTGGCGTCGATGGGATTGACTGTTCAGAACTGAGTGTATCTTTAGCCGTTGTAGAAATATCTGAGGTCTCCTCAGCGAGTGGCGTGCTTTTAACTGTTGTTGCAGAATCTGAGTTAAATGATGATGATGTAGGAACATTTGAGGTCGGCACACCGGCTGTGGCAACAGCAGTAACAATAATTGAAAATCCCGTTCTTGTAATGGTATGGTCCGTGGTGAAGTGAATCCACAAGTTGTTGACAGGAGAAACAAGGGTAGACGGGTAAGATGTTCCGGTAAGATTAGCTAGTAAGGTGCGGCTACTAAAACCAGTGGTGGATTCATACTCAAACCCAAGAAAGTCATAGCTGCATAAGAAAACAAAGGGGAAATGGGGATCGAAAGTGAATCACAATCACATTTGCAAATTTGCGCACTTATTACCTATAAGAAAGGGCCACTTAATTATTTTTAACTTGCACTTAAATTTTTGCATAAATAATACCCAATTAATTGTATTACTTCTCTTTTGCTTTTATATCATCAGCACCAGTGTTGCTCTTCCCGAGGGCCCTGCAATTAGTATTACACCAGCGACTGTCGGCCCGACAAAATGGGTACCCGACAATGTCTAAAAAAAAAAAACAATCTTACTTTGTTTCAAGACTGAAATATTCGAATTCCACGTTTATGGTATGGTCCATTGGGGCGATGATATACCCGGAGAGGTCGAGATCATTATCGTAGTTGGATGGATAATTTGGAGACTGAATTATCGTAGAATTTCCAGATGTAAGATAAATAACATTATCTGTAAAGATAAACAACATAATTATACAAAACAGGTATATAAGTATATTTCTTATCAATGAAATTACGTATATCATCATTAATACTCTCATTCTTCTATGAATGTTATTGTTATAATTGTAATTTCCATTCTAATTTCACTATAAGCAGTTTTATCATTATAATTTTTTTCTAAGTACATAATGAAACTGTATAGATGGGCTACTAAAACGGAATGTGAATCTGTAGAGTAGACAATTTACAGTTTTGATTTAAAAAAAAATTGATATTAAGCGGCCGATCTGATTAATATGTGGTGGTGGTGGTGGTGGTGATTATTTTACGTTAAAGCTAAGAAAGCAATAAATGCTTGTTAGTAAGCATCCGATTATTTTATAGATGAGATGATTCATGGCTCTAATTGTCTTTATAAACAAGGAGTATTAAGACTTACCAGATTGATCAGTTGTGGTGGGTAGGTCAGATTCAGACTCAGTGGTTTGGACATCTGATACCATTTTTGAGATTGAGATGCTTTCTGATGTTGTCGAGGAAGTCGAATTAAGTGAAGCATTTGACTCTGAAGATGTAGCACTACTCGATGTTGAAGCTGTTGTGAAAGAAGTTGAGGTAATGGTAACAGCTGATTCATCAGATGTTGTAGCCACATCTGATGTTGACTGCGTCAGCTTATGAGTGGTGCGAATATCAGATGTCTGCGATGGAATGGTTGTGCCTTTCATGTTTGCAAAAGAAGCAGAGTAAAGCGATACTGTTGAGACAGATGGAGTTGTGGCATCACCTGGCGTCGATGGGATTGACTGTTCAGAACTGAGTGTATCTTTAGCCGTTGTAGAAATATCTGAGGTCTCCTCAGCGAGTGGCGTGCTTTTAACTGTTGTTGCAGAATCTGAGTTAAATGATGATGATGTAGGAACATTTGAGGTCGGCACACCGGCTGTGGCAACAGCAGTAACAATAATTGAAAATCCCGTTCTTGTAATGGTATGGTCCGTGGTGAAGTGAATCCACAAGTTGTTGACAGGAGAAACAAGGGTAGACGGGTAAGATGTTCCGGTAAGATTAGCTAGTAAGGTGCGGCTACTAAAACCAGTGGTGGATTCATACTCAAACCCAAGAAAGTCATAGCTGCATAAGAAAACAAAGGGGGGGGGGAATCGGGATCGAAAGTGAATCACAATCACATTTGCAAACAAATAGTGAGCGAGTGTTTCACTCGTTGTTCACCTGTTCATCGTTATCAATTCGGCCTTTTTTTCAATCACATTTGCAAACAAAACAGTTTGCACATGTAATTACTTATTAGAAAAGGGCGACTTAAAACCCAAACCCACGAAAGTCATAACTGCAGATAGGAACCAATCAGGCAATGAAAATGGAAAAGTGGAGCTAAAATCTCGATTACATTGTAAAGTATATATGATGAGGTTCTATCTATTCTTCTTCATATAATGATTGGTATGCTCCCTTTGTAATGTTATGATTAAAAATGTTGTTGTTGTTTTGTTATTTTATTTTGTTATATATTGTACTTTTTACGTGACAGAGAGGGTGAAAAATAAACTGAAAGAACGTCTCATTCGTGGGTCACCCGCTCATTTTGATATTGTTTACATTTTGACATTGATAAACTGTACCAATACATGATTTATTTATAAGGTTATTTCGTACCTGGTTTGATATGAATCATCTAAAAGAAATATTCGGTTACAATTAGCACACCCATTTTTAGCGATGTTTTCGCTCTAAGTCGTATTACTGCAATATCTCATGGACTTCCTACTCCATGGCCCTTGTAGAGCTGTGTGTAAAGAGGTATGCTTTGGTGTATACAAGAAAATCTTACCTTGTTTCCAGGTTAAACTCCTCGAATTCAACGTTTATTTTGTGGACCAGTGGGGCAAATATATACCAGGAACAATCTTGATCGCTATCGTAGTTGGATGGATAATTTGGAGACTGAACCGTCTGAGAATATCCGAATGCAAGGTAAATATTGATTTCTGGAGAAACATTAAAAAATAAACGAGAAATATAACACAATCAGGACAAGTATATTTATAATTTATGCTACCATTTTTACCATTATCATTCCCATGCCTGTCATTATTCGAGGAGGAAACTTTTCTTGTTTCAAAAAGACCTGACAGGATTTATATTGTAACATATTTATATATCATTCTCATTGAAAAGAAAAGAAATTCTTTACAGGACTATATCAACAATTTAGCATTCTTATCATTTACAACATCATCAATTTTATTCGTATCATAAGGATTTAACGTTATTTGTATTGTCACAAAATTAGTATATGACCGTACTGTTCAAAGGTACATGTATGTCTATCTATGTTAAGAGTGGATAGTGTACGGTGTATGGTTTTAATTGATAAAAATGAATATTACCCGATGGATCAGTTGTGATGGGTACGAGAGATTCAGACTCAGTGGTGTGGACATCTGAAACCATTGTTGAGATTAGTGTGCTATCCATAGTAGTCCCAGAAGCAGAGTTCAGTGAAGCATTCGATTCCGAAGATGAAGCAGTGACTGAATCTGTCACATCTTGCTCGGTGTGGGCGTTATTTGTCTGCGATGGGGTGGACGTAGCTGCTATTGTTGTCGAAAAAGCTGCGTCTAACGATTCTGATGATTCGGAAAATGTTGTAGCACCATATGACGTTGTCTGTTTCATGCCCTGAGTAGTGTGGGAATTAGATGTCTCCGATGGGATGGATGTAGTTTTTGAGTAGGTCAAAGAAGCGGTGCCTAACGATACTGTTGACTCAGATGGAGTTGTGGCAACATCAGACATTGATTGGGCAATACCTTCAGTGGCATCTACATAGAATGTCTCCGTTGAGTCAAATGTACTTTGCATCGTTGTAAAAGATTTTGAGGTAATGGCTGGTGTGGACTCATCTAAAGCGGTCATAAACACTGAGGTCTCTTGGCTAATGTCAGATGTATCCGATAGGATGGATGCGCTTCCCATGTTTGTCGAAGAAACAGTGTTTAACGATACCTTTGACTCAAATGATGTCGTAGAAAAACTTGATATAGGTGGGGTTGACTCTTCCGTGGATACTTCCGTTGGGATACCCGACGTTGGCATTTCCATAGTTGTGATTTCGATTGTTGTAGAGAAACCCGAGCTCATTGAAACGGTTGGCTCATCTGACGTCGTAGTAACACTTGAGAATGATGATGAGTCTTCACTGAAATGCTCATGAAATCCCTGCGTTAGGATGTCTGACGTCGGCGTTGTGTGAAGAGATGTGCTTTTGATTGTTGTGGAAAAGCTCGAGCTCATAGAAACGGTTGACTCTGATGCTGTCGTACTTACAATTGAATTCAAGAGGGTCGCCTCTTCAATAGGGTCATTATGCCCATCAGATGTCGGTAGGACGGATGTACTTTCTTCCGTTATTGAAGACACTAAGTTTAATGAAACATCGGTCTCAGGTGATGTCGCAGAAGGGGTTTCTTGAGTTGGCAGTGTCGACTTGTCAATTGTAACTTCATCATTCAAAGACTGTGTTGGTATGAAAGTTGTGTCTGACGTTATAAGATAAGCTGAGCTCACCGAAACATCGGACACTGGTGATGTTGCGGTAGTGCTTTCTGGAGTTGACTGTGTCGACTGTTCAGTTGCGTCTTCCTCACTCATCGTCTGTATTGTGTCCCTCGTTGTCAAATGCCCTAAGTTCAAAGAACCATCGGACTGTAGTGATGTTACAGAAGTGGTTTCTGGAGTTGACAGTGTCGACTTTTCGGTTGTGTCTCGGTCATCGGTTGTCAATGTTGGCAGGAAAGTTGTTTCCATTGTTGTCAGTTGGGTTGTGTTTTTTAAAGCATTGGACTCTGTTGGCGATGAAGCAGTGGTTACTTGAGTTGACCGTGTCGGCTGTTTAGTTGTGTCTTCGTCATCTGTTGTCTGTGTTGGTGTTATAGTTGTTTCTTCGTCATCCGTTGTCCGTGTTGGTGTGATAGTTGTGTCTTCGTCACCCGTTGTCTGTGTTGGTGTGATAGTTGTGTCTTCGTCATCCGTTGTCTGTGTTGGTGCGATAGTTGTGTCTACGTCATCCGTTGTCTGTGGTGGTGTGATAGTTGTGTCTTCGCCATCCGTTGTCTGTGTTGGTGTTATAGTTGTGTCTTCGTCATCCGTTGTCTGTGTTGATGTACTAGTTGTGTCTTCGTCATCCGTTGTCTGTGTTGGTGTGATAGTTGCTTCTTCGTTATCCGTTGTTTGTGTTAGTGTGATAGTTGTGTCTTCATCATCTGTTGTCTGTGTTGGTGTGATAGTTGTTTCTTCGTCATCCGTTGTTTGTGTTAGTGTGATAGTTGTGTCTTCATCATCCGTCGTCTGCGTTGGTGTGATAGTTGTGTCTTCGTCATCCGTTGTCTGTGTTAGTGTGATAGTTGTTTCTTCGTCATCCGTTGTATGTGTTGGTGTGATAGTTGTGTCTTTTTCATCCGTTGTCTGTGTTGGTGTTATAGTTGTTTCTTCGTCATCCATTGTCCGTGTTGGTGTGATAGTTGTGTCTTCGCCACCCGTTGTCTGTGTTGGTGTGATAGTTGTGTTTTCGTCATCCGTTGTCTGTGTTGGTGTGATAGTTGTGTCTTCGTTATCAGTTGTCTGTGTTGGTGTGATAGTTGTTTCCATCGTTGTCAAATGAACCGAGTCCTTAGAAACGTACGTAGAGGCGGAGCCGGAAGGAGTATTGTGTGATGTGGACTCAGTAAGTTCTGTTACCTCAGAAGCACTTGTTGACTGGGCCGTGTCTAGTGATGTCTGCAAGGGCACTGTGGTACCTTCCGTCGAAGTTGCGCCTGATATGAAGGAGAGATCACAATAACAATACCGAATCACCAATACGAATTCCACTGACCATTGAACATGTTTTTATGTCATATTCAGGGACGTTTTACAAACAAAGAATCAATAGGTAAGGATTGCCATACATACAAAAAATATCTCTTTTACAGTTGGTTGGGTAAGAAGATCCCTTCAAATAAAACCTTAATGAAGAGTTTGAACCTTTCAGTAGATATAAAACACAACCACATGCTTATAAATAAAGCTGCAACAGGGTACAACAGGGACACAATCGGTCACATTTCCTATTCGCACAGTCATGGCATGTGATGTCATAGCAATATCTTATTTTAGTGGTTCAGGTGAAGCGAAACCCTCGCACTTTCAATAATCCTTTGCACCAATATTCTTATCATTATGAATATTTATGAATTAATTATCATCAATCAAACCCCTCACACCAATATTCGTATCATTAGGTATATTGATTAATTAATGATCAACTATGAACAATATTGTCAGTAATGAATAATATTATCAATGTCTAATGAATGGTGAATAATGCGTGATGATGTAATACCAGTTTGGGGGATGGCCCTGATTTCGAGCGAGAATCCTGTTGCATTGTTGGTGTAGTCCGAGGTGAACCGAATCCAGAGGTTGTTAACAGGAGACGTCAGGTTAGTAGGATACGTGGACCCAGTCAAGTTTGCCAGGAGGATGCCATCACCAGTACTCACCGAAGGATTGTACTCCAACGAGAGGAAGTCGTAACTGGATAAGAAGGGACGTTTTTGATTTAGAACCACACGGTATAAAATTCGAAAGCTTGTTTTTTTTTCCTTCTATATGTATATTTACTGGTACATTAAAATCTCAACAAGTTCTACGACAATGTTCAGATAGTTTGATGATTTTCAAACATCAATTGTTTAATTATGAAGACTTTTTACTAAATATCATTTTATATGTATTTAATGTTACTTTTAAGACTGATATATGGAGGCTTATCATAAAAATCTACATTATTATTTTATATACCATTTAATTATTCATTTTATTTGTGCCAACTTTGATATCACATATCAATTAAAAGCGCCAAATAATTTTTTTGACCTGATGTAATATAATATATATTTTCTTATTTCCCTCACAGAAAAATGATAACTAATAAATCAGAACTAGATACATGATGGCTTAAATCATTGAGATGACTTACTCATCTTCCAGTTCAAAGTCTCTAAATGTGACGGTAATTGAGTGATCATCAGGGGCACTGATGTTCCAAGTGTAATCCAGATAATTAGCGTAGTTAGATGGATAATTCAAAGACTGTATTGTCTCTGCTGTTCCTGATGTCAAGCTAATGTTTTCCCCTGTAAAGAGAGAACGAAATACATCGAAATTTCAAAGGTAGAATCAGGCGCGGACCCAGGACTTTGTAAAGAAGGAGGAACACTATTCTTCATATTTGCTTACAAGGGGGAAGAAAAATAAATTAACAAAATGTTTTGGTAGTTTTTTTTGCTCATTTTTTTTTTTAAAAACTGTACATGACGGTTGTGCCCCCCTCCCCCTCCCCCTCCCCCCCTTCCCCCCCCCCTCCCCCCCCCCCCAAAAAAAAATCCGCTAGTGTGTATTGTTGTATAACGTTTTGGTATGGGGTCATGAATTTGGTTCAAACGGACATTTTCGAAGCATATGCGATCCTACAATATTCAGTGATCGTTGTCGCGGTTGAAATCGAGTCTAAAGTGATGAAATTGTAAATAATAAACGCTTTATGTTGTAAAGCTCCCTCTCAAGGTCAAGATATTAATTTAGCTAGAAACAATGTTTCTTGACTAAAATCGACCGATTGGCTACTCCCATTTGGAAATTATATATCACAACTGCATATTCTGAGATTTTCGTGGTCGCAGCTATCATTGTATGGCCGTAGGCGCTATTTGAAATTTATCAACATTTACCGGGAGCACCGATGAGTTTTGATATTCAATATTTCTCGAAAGCAGAAGTGCTTTAGGGGCTAAATTTTCTAGTGCTAATAATACATCCACAGGGGCATCCAAATATATCAAAATTGTAAAGAATCACTATAAAGCCAATTTTCAACATTTCCCAAAACTTTGTATTACCTTTTACGTCAAGGAAAAAGAATAAATACACATTGAATACACATTGAATGCACAAGACGACAAACAATTGCAACAAATATCTAGCTGTTTGATAGGCAGAAGACATAAGATTTCCTAGTACGTTTTTTAATTGTTGTTTATACTTTGCTCATCTTGACAATCTGGAATAAAACAATTCAAAATTAAATCAGTTCTTCTTAAAATGCAAAATCTCGAGCTCAGTGTTATTCTTAAGTTTGACGTGCATGCAGAACTTTACATCATTATTTTGTATTAATTTATTTGATAACGCTTCACTTTAAATGATAGCATCTCTTAGAAGCTCATGAAATTGTAATAAGGATTCGAAAATATAGTTATACTACCGTAGTTTACTATGATCACATGTTCATATACATTTCATCGTTAACAAAACAGTAACAACTTCCATATCTCTTGAAGAAGAAAAGAAGGAACGATTATTGACAAGAATAGTTGAATAGAATATATGTACAGGAGATAAATCGTAGAGGGTACTTACGTATTGGTGCAGAATCCAGGGATTGAATCAAAGCTATTACGACCAGTGCGATGAATAGAAACGCCATCCTGAAACTTGTATTTGGAGAAACGATGGAGATTACTGATCTGCTCTCGAAAATAATACATGTATGATTTATGTTTGATATCTGGTGATATTCTATGATCTCGAGTCGTATGGGGTTCAAATTTGTTCAAAGAAACCATAGAATACAAAGTCGTACATTTTCTTCATTCGTCTTTCTTTTTGTAAAGATAAGTTTTATTTGCAACTCGTATTGTCCCCCAAAATCATCTCGAAATAAATATATATTTCCCTTCAATGAAACATATACACGATTGAATGAAATCGAACATCTTCATCCGTCTTGGTTCAAACAAGTTCTCATACTATTTTCATCAATTTAATTATGTTCTGAATAATCAACTTTTCTTTCATCGATCACTAAAAATATAAAGATTTTAAAAATAAGATTTCTCTATATATTACGATAAACACGAAAAGTACTCAACGTCACTTTAAAGTGATCATGGTACTATATTTAAACGTGTGATATATTTTTGCTGTCTACGGTACACAGTTTCGAGATGTAAAAAGCTGAAAATTGATAGAAATAAAAAGTTCTCACTTACCCCCAAATTAATTCCTTATTTGAGAACGCACATTGGATCGCTACCAGAAAGATGAAAGACATTCATGACTAAGATGAGCATTACTACAACTGGGAGCATTGTAGTCGTCCACCAATCACGGAACTGGTTGTTTTTGTTACCCCTACCCCCCTTCTCCAATCCGAATCTTGTTTCCATGCAACACCTAATGCATTTGACATATTTAAGGTAGTACAGCTTGGCAGAAAGTAAACAATCTACAATCAAGCAACGCCTACCGATTCTTCTAACCAAACACAGAAATCGGGTCACATTTGATAAAAATCAATATTATTATCTCGCCCGCTACCAAACTCACTAACCCCCAAATCAACAAAAAATACCATCCATCACAATTCGAGTACGGTATGATGCAAGCAACCCGATTATTTCTAACATGTGTAATGTTTGTATTCGAGGGCTCTCAGCGAAAATTCGGAGTGCAATCTATTAATACCTATCATTAATAATATTGAGGGAAAATCATCTATGAATAATCAATCATCTCTTGTATGAAGAAAAGGTATATTTGGGCTTAAGAAACATTTTTTTTCCTTCACCTTTATCTTTCTTTCTCCTCTCTGTCTTCCCTTCCCTCTCTCTCTCTTTTTATTTCATATCATTATTTAATTTATGGAATCAACTTTTAATGTATAGTTTTTACTTTGTGTAAATTGAATTTGTTTCAACCTTATATAACTGTTTGGAATGTGTTTGTTTATTATTATTATTAATAATATCACCAAATCAATTACAAAATTTACAAATACTCTCTCTCTCTCTCTCATTTACCCTCTCACTTTCCCATCAATTCGAGCGGGGCACATGCAATCCCCGTCGCTATGCCACCGACAGGTACATGACACGTCAGTTCATTTGGCAATCACCTCTTTTTTTTAAAGATTTTTTACAAATTAAATCGAGTCCGCTCTGACAACTATTATCGTAACAAAGCATTAGTTAAAGGCTCTCAAAGGGTCATTATTGAATGTCCATTTCGCATTGTTTTAAAGCACATGTGGAATAAGACTTTTTGCCTGCAACCCCCCCCCCCCCCCCCCCCCCATTCCCAGTCATATTACAAAGACGAACAAATATGGTCTGAAAGTTGAAAGCTGTTGTAGTATACATACACAAATACATTTATTACCCATTTCCAGTATACTGCATATATCTTGAAATTGACATCAATTCAAACGACAATTATAATATGATAGTTTTTGCATTAGAAATGAGTGAGAAAGATATAAACTAAAGAAGTTTGAAAAATGAAGGAAAAAAGACAACAGTGAGGATATGCCATTAAACTTGTCATGGGCATCGAGTCGCCCATCAGTTACCTACTTTGTCGTGAGGCTAGGGGTATGCTCTGCAAAATGTATGTAAAAACATTTAAATTATTGGGCATGTACCAAAAATGTTCCGTATAGGCCTATTTTACATGTATTGAACATATGACCCCCCCCCCCCCTCCCTCCAAAAAAAGAAAGAAGAAAGACTGAATGTTTAAATCAATGATTGAATGAATGAATGCATCGATCAATTACTCAATTAATGGTATGTTGGCGGCGTTGTCCCGTTTCCCTTCATATCAGCTCTTGTTCATCCAGGGCCCCATTTCACAAAACTTGTCATCAATGACAAATGACCGTTTCTGTTAAAAGCTAGTGAAATCCTTGCTTCTGATTGGTTAGCAGCAGATTAGACACTGATTTCTGTAATTTGTCATTGAAAAGACCTTTGTGAAACGGGTCCCTGAACACAACCTATGACATCTCAAGAGATAATCACTCAAAATTGGAGAGAAGACCGTCGGTCACCAATAGAATTTCCAATAAGATTGACAAGCTAAAGGAAAGATATGCCTTAGTTGATAACTGACCAAATAACTCATTGTGCAACGGCATAAGGCATCAATGATACAAGATTCAGAAAATGATTACCGGTACATGTCAAAAAAATGAACAATCAAATACAGAATGGCAACAACAAAAATAATTGTGAACATATGACAAATAATGCACAAAGATGGACGGAATATAGGTAGCGATTACACATAGCATAACATCAAAATGTAAATTCATAGTTGCATATATATGTAGCACTGACACTCTATCAATTTTTTGTAAAAATCTTAATTTCATTTTATTGCTATCATTATATGCTGATAAATTAATTCAAATTTCATTAGCACGAGCTGGACTACTAAATAACTTTGCCTTGTGAAATCTTCATTTAAATATTTCAAACTCAAAGAAAAATATGTATTTGTATTGATCGATCATTCTTTAACCCATTTATTACTTCTGGGTTATGCAGCCAACAAGTATCATGGAAGGCTACCATTCATATCATGCAATTGCACCTGCCGTCTACATGTATCTAAGATAATTTTCAATGACTCTAGAATTTTTTATTTTTAAAGCAAAGTTACCTTATTTCATACACATGTGACTGCATAATACACCTGGGGTGCAAGCAACTTTACATAAAGTACATGATGTAGATACCAGGCATATGAGTGCATAAGATTATTGAATACAATACTGTTTTGTGAGTAATTATAGCCATAGATCCATTAGTCACTTTGTAAAATTGCCAGAAAAGTGATAAGTTCCCCCCTTTGAATTCCAGCACAACACCATACCTGACCAAAACATATATAGCCTCAAATTACTCTGCACCAAACCAAATAGGCTTCTACTAAGAGACATACTGTATACACCATTACAATAAGGTCAAAGTTTTTCTACATCCATTCCAAAAAAACTTGATAATTACCATATAGATGTACATGGTAGAATAACTCTAAAACATCTCCACATAAATACTGCAATATTTGTCTGCATAGTTGGTAAGAAATTATTATATGAAAGGAAATAGAAACTATTCATGCATAGTTTGATATACAAGGAGACAGGTGCAAATAACAAAAACAATTATCCCACATGCACTACTGGCCACTTAAAAAAGACAAAAAAATACAAAAAAATCTTAACATCATCACACAATTGCAAAATGGCACAATCAATAATTATGTAGAAGATTATATTCATAGAATTCTACATTAATATTCCACACAACATACGATACAAATTAATTTCCGAGATGATTTTTAATAAGTTTAATCAACTTGATGTGACAAACTTGTAAAACTTACATATTCATTATCAAATTCAAAATCATATTTGTTTGAGGGGTTTAATCAAGTGATCGTAAATATTTGTAAACTAAAAAAGTCATAAAGTTTGGGCCTGCTTTAAAACTTATCTTTACAATTTTCCTTAATTTGGTTCATATTTTGTACTCGAAATATTAAAATTTGTTTAGGATAAAAAGAATAAGATTATTACTGTTTACATCATCTAATATAAAGGCTGTATTATATCATCTTAATGAAAACAATCCTGTTCAGCCTTGGCTAACTGAAATCAACCCGTCTCATACACTGAATAACAGTCCACAATATTTGTGCACAGGTATAATTTCTCTGTCTGTAATGTTCTTTTCAGTAATATAACCATTATTGTGCTTTAGATAATAACATGCACAGGTTTATTTCACTTTAGTACCAACTCTTTCTCTTGCATGTCGTCATTTTCTCTCCACTTGTTAACATATTAACAAAGCTTGTTTTTAAGTTGTCTTGGTTGTGTTGTAGCAATCGTATCTACCATTGCTGAGCACAGTCAGTATCCTGCAATAAGAAATTAAAAGAGAATAATTATCCAAGCTGAAAAAATGAAATGGATGAATTATATATCAACAGAAAGCTTATAAGCCATAAATTACGATAACATTATTCCTTTATATGTGTATTCTACATTCATTCAGTTTTTCATATATATCAAGTTGTATTTTCATTAGACAAGATCTTTAAGCTACTGAAATTGAAACTGTTTTACGAGACAAATAATGTGGCAGGGCTACCTAATTTCTTTCTCTTCATGCAAATGAAACAAGTTATTTTACCACTTGTTGTTCATGTCTTCAGGATAACTGTACATATATTTCATTTAAAACATTTTCCTCTGGATTTTTTTTTTTTACAGGAAACCGTCAAAGTGAGATGTTGATGCTATGTGATGTTTAATTTGAAATGAAAACTTGAAAAGGATTTATAAAACGTGAAATGCGTATCCATTTTATACCCAATTGAAAACATTAGAGCGAATGAGAAAGAAAACTAGTTCCTCCTCTGTTATATTTATTTTCCTTCATTTTCATTTTCCTCAGATAGCAGAATCATGAGACTCAGCACTACAAATGAAAACAAACAATGCAACTGAGCATTTATTTAAATGTATATATAAATTCTTTCACTTACGTTGTAGCGTAATCTTGACCTAAGAAAGTGCTCTTTAAGAACCTCCTGATGTTCTAGTCTTCTCTGTTCATCCAATGTAGGGTGATTACACTGACCCTGCCCTCGTGAGTCCAACATCTGACGATGGTATGATGCTGACTGACTTCCTTTAGCCAGCTCCTCCTGCTCCCTGCGATTCTTTTCAGCAAGTTCCTTTTTCTGTTCCTGGAAAAGAAATTTAAAGAAGAGAAAATACAATACTAAATGATAACCTTTACTGTATGGTGCCATAATTATCAAAGCAAACAAACAACTAATAAATGAAATAATTTGCAAAAAAATATATCATTATTTTTTGCTACGTGTACCAGACTTCATAATTCAGAATAACACTGTCAAAGCTATTATTGTCTTTAGATGAATTTCAAATCTTTAGTCAAACTCCAATAGTTTGGTTTATTCTCATTTGCTAACAGATCATCCCGATTTTATTTCCAGAAATCAATCATTGTAAACAAACAATTATTTGACAGCCCGTTAGACATAAATTCAACAAAATTGCCAATTCATTAAAAAACTAGATGGAATTCTACTGCGCGCAGTCGAAAATGATGCCTCCGTCATAGAGCAATTTTACAAACCGAAACGGAAGAAATTTTTCAAATTCAAGTTCAATTGTAATCCATTAACATGTTCTCAGAATATCGTGATTACAAGCAATTTCTCATATACATATATGACCCTTTGATCTTTGACCTCATGACCCTAAAATCTACTCAGTTCATTGGCTCTGCAAGATTTCCTGAGTTAAATAGTAATCCATCTGTCAGTTCTAATGAGAATGCGTCCACAAGCTATTTTTGCATACATAATGAGCCCATGACCTTTGATCTTATGAACCATTCATTGGCTCTGCAAGATACATAAATGATCTAAGTTTGGCAGGAATCCATCAATCTGTTCTAATGATAATACGATCACAAGCTATTTTTGCATACATAATGAGCCGCATGACCTTGACCTTTACCTCATGACCCCAAAATTTAATCAGTTCATCAGCTCTGCAAGTAACATACATGACCTAAGTTTGGCAGGAATCCATCAATCGGTTCTTGAGATAAGGCGATCACGAGCTGTTTTTGCATACACAATGTGCGCTGTGACCTTTGACCTCGTGACCCCAAAATCTAATCAGTTCATTGGCTTTGCAAGATACATACATGACCAAAGTTTGGCAGGAATCCATCAATCAGTTCTTCAGATAACGCGATCACAAGCTGTTTTTGCATACATAATGAGCCCTGTGACCTTTGACCTTTGACCTCGTGACCCCAAAATCTAATCAGTTCATCAGCTCTGCAAGATACATACATGACCAAAGTTTGGCAGGAATCCATCAATCGGTTGTTCAGATAACGCGATCACAAGCTGTTTTTGCATACATAATGAGCCCTGTGACCTTTGACCTTTGACCTCGTGACCCAAAATGTAATCAGATTGTTTTCCTATAGTGATACACACTATCACTAAGTTTGAAGTTTAAATCTCCAGTGGTTCTTGAGATATCATGATAACAATCTCAATGTATGGAATTTCATAAGTTGACCTCTGTGACCCTTGACCTTTGACATACGTGCTCCAAAATCTAATCAGATCGTCTTCCTATGGTGATACATACTATCCTTAAGTTTGAAGTTTAAATCTCAAATGGTTCTTGAGATATCGCGCTAACAAACTCAATACAAGGAATTTCATAAGTTGACCTCTGTGACCTGTGACCTTTGACCTACGTACTCCAAAATCTAATCAGATCGTCTTCCTATGGTGATAAATACTATTCCCGAGTTTTAAGTTTAAATCTTAAATGGTTCTTGAGATATTGTGATAACGGTCAAACGGGACGGACGGACGGACGTACGGACGGACGGACGTACGGACGGACGTACGGACGTACGGACGTACGGACGGACAACCCGAAAACATGATGCCTCCGGCACCACCTTCGGTGGCGGAGGCATAAAAACATGTATGAAAAGTCTGTTGCCTATCACATCATCTTGCCATAACAACAACAAAAAGGAAAAAGAAAGAAAAAGGAGAGGACATAGTTGGTTCGGTACACGTTTCTTATGAGTCACATACACAATGTATGGGTACAAAGTGAAATTTGCTTGTAAAGATTACATACTTTTTTTAAATCCCAAAAGGCCCAGAATATACCAAGAATTTAAGCTGACACTGAGTTTAATTTTAAGCTTTTGTTAAAAATTGATTTAACGCGAAATTATAATAGACCAAGGTCTAAGTTTTCCTTTTCTTTAGTGTGATTTAAGACCCAGTGTCAGATTTAACAGTATTAGTAGAATACTAACCAAAGAGATTAAGACACATATATATGGATTCTGTTTGAAGTAATCCCCTATAGATCTCAAGTTACTACTACTTGTGTTTGCTGTGTCATAAACACTCTAGTAAACTTCTCTGTACCCTGCATTCCTTTGGCTTCGTGACAATAGGTATCACTACCCAGTCCTTGCTGAATACACAACGCAGACAAATTCACACAATGGCCTGTCAATCAATATTCAATCCTTTTGTATGTTGCTCTATTATCAAAAGCATGTAATGATGTCATGTTGTGGAGTCTTTTCTTGGTAAACATGTTTGGCAGTGTGACCATATTTCCCACATGATCTAAGTTCGCTATCTCAAAAAATTGATAAGATTTCAAAAATCTGATATCACCAATGGAAAGAGGAACATAAAATTTCCCAGAGACAAAATTTTCTTTGGTATTAGGTGCGACATTATGAAAATATTGACAAAAGATCAGCAAATTTTGCAGTCATTTTCCTGCGTTCCGATTTTAAAAAAAAAACTTGTAACCGATAAAGATTAAAGGTCTGGAAATCTTCATTTTGATAGCAGATATCCTCAAAATTATAAGTAAAATGTGGTCAAAAATGTATGATATCTTGCCTTGCAAATTATGAAATTACCTTATTTTTGATGGATCACATTTTTTGATAATTTCAGCTGTAAATCCCCATGCCCGGTGTAAGGTCTCATTATTTTAAAGATTTTTTTTAGTTGCAGCGCTCACGCCGATCCGACATCAAACTTTTAGATCGCGAAAGCTCCGAGATATACGATTTTTCTTTTTAGTTGAACCAATTTTAACTTTGCCGTACATTTGGTAATTGAAATAAATAAATTTGTGTAGATTTAGACCTAGAATATGAGAACTCATACTAGATCGAATATCACGTTCTCTAATATCATCAACATCTCCACAAACCTTGGTCACCTCTTTATTCATAGTACATTTCAAATACTGGCAAACATTAACAAACTAGACCTAGTATATTAATGAGAAAGTGACCACATGGCCCCTCCATGAAGTTATGGGAATTAGAGAAATCAGTAGCCAATGGGTTAATATAAATTAGAAATATAAAAGTTAACTAAGTTAGTAACACTGACAGTGTTGTATAGGGCCTAATATTATTCATAATTTGCACACAACAAACCCCACACTGCCACAGCAGCCACAGGCACAGGCCACACATTTACTCAGTAACTCACCTCTGTCCTTCTTTGTGCTTCTTCTCTTTTATCAAAAACACGTTGCCTTCGAACAGCCTCCCAATGATGTGAAGACATGATGACGATGATACAGAAATAAACTATGCTAGGGCCTAAATAAAAACTTGCTCGTAGAAACGATTGCTATGCACAGCTACAGCACGTATTGGATTCTGCGAACGCTCACAAAGCCCGCTGCCCAAGTTGAGGCTCTCTCCTCGCCTAGCAACCGCTCAGCACATCCAAGAACACCGACAGTCGTGTAAATTATATCAGGGAATGATGCTCAGCTCATGCTCTGTCAGTGATGTTCAGCGATGTCAGCGATGTTCATAAAATGTTTTTATCTGCAATCGCCACTCCTTATTTGAAAAATACCTGCAGTCTCTATGGGTTTTTAAGAGAAATTAGTTGCCCAGTGCAGCCAGCGTGCTTATGATTATCTACGGGAAATTACACGTCTACAGCAGAGCAACGACAGTATAAAAGATAGTCTGCTCACGCAGATCAATGGACGCAATCAAGTGTGTTATAATTGCATGTATACGGTATGGTACATGATTCCGCGCGCTACATAGAAGAGGTGGTGTAGGCTATCTTAACAAACAATAGTGTTTTCCACACTCACACTAAGAAAATCCAAACCAAAAAACAAGGACGCGACAACAACATCAGCAAAACACAAACAGCTATATTAATTTCACTGTGTTATTGGAACTTTGGAAGTATAACGGATTCCCTTTCTCCTTTTTTTTTGTCCTCTTCTTTTTTTCCTTTTCTTCTTTTTCCATACTAGCAGTGCATGCTACAACATGTAAAATGATCATTATAATTACCATCACATCAGTCACTTAAACAAATGTAGGGGCTCGGCCTTATGCAAATACGGAACACCAAAATAGTATTAGTAAGAGAGAAATCTATATCGACCAAAAGCTGAATTGCGGCAGTTGTTAAAAATGAAATGAAATGAATAATAATAATAATATTCCGCTATATATAGGGCTCTAGGCACTTTACAGATAAACTATTACCTCGGCCATTGGATTCACTACTTGCCCACACCCCCACACACTGTGTGCACAATCTCCACTCCCCGGTGGGCTGAGCATTCCATGCTGAGCATGCTGAGCATTCCAGCCAGGTGTCACTCTTGATACTCAAAACATCAAGTAATACTTAATACTTGATTTCCTCATACTATGAGGAAATAAGAGTATGTGCAATTCAGCCTTTGGCTGCTAATCATTTGATGAATAAACTCTTTTTTAATCTTGAATCTTTTTGAATGTGACCAAAAACGAAAAAGATATTTATGTTACACGTACTAGTACAATAAACAACTTAAAACTGACATAATAATACCATATTAGTTTTAGAAATGACTAGTCTTAAACCTTGCAGGCGTAAGACTAGTCGAGAGGAAAAAAAGAGACTAAAAACATACGTATATATTATATTGAGGGAGAGAAAGAAAGAAAGGATGGATGGGCAAGTGAGAATGTGGGAGCCGAGAGAGAGAGAGAGAGAGAGAGAGAGAGAGAGAGAAAGGGGGAAGCGAAAAGAGAGAGAGAGAGAGAGAGAGAGAGAGAGAGATATAGCACGCATGTAATCCATTAGGCCTTTTATTATCATTATTATACTTATTATTATTATAATTATACAAAAACAACAGCTACAAACACATTTTGTAAAAATGCAAGTAGTTTGTGTAAGCATTGGGAGCAGGCACGTAGCCAGAGTTTGATGTTAGGGGGGGGGGGGCACATATATGTAATCGATCGAGGTCAAAAAAGGGGTCTAAAAAAACGTTCCCCCCCCCCCCCGTGCCCCCCCCCCCCCCCCCGTGGCTACGTGCCTGATTGGGAGAAGGCCTATGTAACTACGAAATCACGGATTGAAATATTATTGATAACAATAATAACAATGATGATAGTAATTATAATTCTAATGATAATTATCAACGATGATAATAATAATCGTAATAATAATCATAATAATAATAAAAATAATGATAAAAATAACAATACTAATAAAACTAAAAACTTGAATATAAATAGAGTAGGGGAGGGAGTATAGGGAGGCGATAAAAATATCGGGGGGGGGGGTGTTTGTGTGTTTGTACTGGTAAAGTTTGTACTGCTAGTAAGTAAGCACATTCTGTTTGAAGACTTTATGAAAATTCATGCTAATTTGGTAATTTGGGTCGAGGTTTATTGTATTTCAAACAAAAATATCTGATATATATATCTGGAAACTTATGTAATTATATCTGTTATGTTCAGGGGCGGATCTAGCTTTTTGCTAAGGGGGGGGGGTTGACCAATAATGACGATGCGGAGCATCGTCCACGAGCCGCGAAGCGGCGAGCCGATTTTTTTTTTGGGTGTTTATTTGAACCCCGTAAGTGATGTTTTCCTGGCATCTATTAACACAATGGAGACCATAAAAAGCAGTGCATGATAACGTCTTTTAAAATCAAGTAACAGTTAAATACACAGTTATATCCAGAGTTATCATGTGTTTGGTTAAGTTACCAGATGAGTTGAATATCTTCTCACAATATTTGCACTTGAAAGGGTTTCTCTCCAGCGTGCGTTCTTTTTTCTTTCTTTTTTCTTTTTTTTTCCTTCCCCCCCCTTTTTTTTTGGTTTGTTTTTTGGGCCGCCCGAGGGAGGGGTTTAAACCCCCTAACCCCCCCCCCCCCCCCCCCCTCCGTAGATCCGCGCCTGTTTCCCCGCGAAGCGTGGGCGCTGGATGTGTTTTATTTACTCAAATTGTAGTATTACAACACGTCCGTATTACACCCCCATGTATGGTAATTTACCCTGATGCCAACTTTTTTGCATGATTCAAACATACCTTCCAGTAAAAAAAGATGCGAGACTGGATTGCCGCAACTTCTTTGCCCTGTTTGCTTCCATATTGCTTGTCACTACACTCAGACCAGACTGATAAAAAAGTGAGCAACTTGAACAAGTAATCCAGGAAATGAGCAGCCCAGCTCAGCGTGCGTTGCCAGGTTAAATCTTCACAAAATCCCCACCCAAACGACACTTAAAATATCCCCAAAGTTGCCAAATTTTGACAGAAAATCCCCAAATTCGTTTTTCATAAAACTCAATATTATTTTCATTCCCAAATATTTATTTTTCATCCCCAAAGACTTCAACAATCCCCCAATTTTTTTTTTTTTTTTAATGTGGGGATTTTGGGGATGAGAATCGGCAACGCTGGCCTAGCTTGTCACTTCGGCGGTGGCCCGTGTCCTCAAAAAAGCTGATGGGGGGGGGGGGGGGGGGCAAGGGACTCTGTGACATTTGTTCGCCCAACCCCCCCCCCCCCTCCCCCCAAAAAGAAATAATAATAATAATAATAATAATAATATTAATAATAATAATAATAATAATAATAATAATAATAATAATAATAAATGAAATAAATACATAGAAATAGAATAAAATAAAATTACAAGTTTAAAAAAAAAGATAAGATTTTAAAAAATGGTCCCCGGATTTTTTTTTTTTTTTTTTTTTTTTTTTGGGGGGGGGGGGGGGGGGTTGCAACCCCCCCAACCCCCCCCCCCCCCCCCCCCCCACCTCTAGATCCGCTTCTGATGTTATAGTTTGGAATATATTGGAATAAGTGGATTGATCTTCAATTTTCATGCGTCTGCAAATCTAGCCTATCAAACCTGAACAATACTTTGCTGAACTAATCGAGCATTTTTGGATTCAGAAGGAATGTAGCGTTATGGTGGAATCAAAGCACCTAGCATAATAGCCAAAGTGGTAGAATGTAGGCCTACTTACTCTCATAATTATATCGGCATACACAATATTGCAATAAATACAAAGTAATATTGGCCAATAAAATAATTGCCTTTAACGATTAAAAAATCAACTATAGAAAGAAAGTCACCTTTTTTGTGCTTGTAGATCACTGTCTTTCCCTTTCTATCAATAGGGTGATCACACTGCCTGTGCACACAGTCTGCCCGCGAACACACACGCACACAACAGCAGTCAGTTGGTAGAAATAGCAATTTTTGTAAATTTATTTTTTTAAAACTAAACAATATTTTCAATTTTTTATTTCACATATATTTCAAGCATACCTTTAATTACAATTCTGTGTAGTTTCATTGTTATAGGCATGTTGGAAATATGTTAAATTATTTAATTAGAATATTGTCTTTTCAGCCATTGTGTGACATGGCCCGCTGATCGCCCATTGACTCGTGCTGCTATTCTGCGTGGTGAAAATGCACCTCAACTGATGTATAAAACTCTCCTACAAAAAATGCAATATCCTCATGTGTTTCACTCATTAAATCAATTTGTTGTTTACAATCAAGGTGGCCACAACTGTACTGGGGTCACTAAACTTTTGTTCACTCTAAAAATTCAGTCCCTGTGAAATATTATGGCCTGTTGAATGGCTTCTCGGAAAATCGTCATAAATCCTTAAATCTGACATTTAAAAAAAAATATATATACTGTGATGTAGCTGAAAGTCTGCAAATTCTTATCATTTGATCGGTTTTCTGAATAATTTGTGAAACACATAAGGAAATAGCTGTGACGGTGATCCAACTAATTTCCATCGCCATATTTTATTGGCATTGCAAAAATATTTGGAATTATTTGGTGTAAATGTGATCTATAAATATATGATTTAAAACATTCCAACAAAATGAACAGTTTGACTTTCCTATATATATATATATATAATTGGCTGAAATGATCTAATTTGCATATTTGATGAATATTCATGATTTTTTTTCTTCAAATAAAATATATTTCCATACCTGTCTGATATATAGGTTTCACTGATGTTTCATGTTCGGTTTTGATTTAATTACATATGCGCATATTAATTAGGCGGACTTAGTTATTTTCACAACTTTTTCATATCTGCAGATTCGCAAAAATGGTAAAAATTACTTATTTTATTGGCTTCTGTTTTCAAAACGGTAATAGATATATGAATTTTCTTTTTTGTATTTTTTACCACAAAGATGATATTTTAGTGTCTGATAATTTAATTTATTATTTGTGTCCGAGAAAGTGATGAATTAAATTGTCAACTTTGTCGAATTTTGTCATTTTGCCAATTTGACCATTTCTGGCAGGTTTTTCGGTAATTTTGCGATTTAAAAAAAATGGTATAAAATCACAACGCATTGACCGATTTCAATTCTGTTTTTTGTTTTTTGAAGCTTTCATAAAGCCGATCATTTGCAATCATCAAATAACATGCATACCAATATATACGTATCTAAATAATTTAGATACGTATATATTGGTATGCATGTTATTTGAATGGAGCCATGAAATATTGGCCTCTATTGGTAGGTTGCTAATGTCACGGTGGCATCTAGCTGAAAAGTGTGCACTTCATTGTAAAAGCGCTGATTATATGTCTGATTGTAATCTGTCTGTTTGTCAACACCGTACGCTATTCTCTTCTATGCATGCAAAATCAATCGCTTCCTTCATACGAAAATCCACGTCAACACACAAAAAGGCCAAAAACGACAAGAGTCAACTCTCAATATAATTCAATACTAAGACATTTTTCTTTCTTTGATCGAGGAGAAAGAAGAGTTCCAGGATGTTGAAAGCCGTAATACTAATTGGAGGACCTCAGAAAGGTAATATATTAAGTTAGTTAGATAGGTAATTGTGGTGATATTTTGTCCGGTCCCACATGCTCCTCTTGCTGTTGTGTGATTGTTTAATTTCAAATAAACCGTTTTTCTGTCTGATGTTCGAGCTGAGTCTGAATAATCACATCACCTAAATGCCCAATAAGTGCAGTTTTCCAATCAATATTTTTCTTGATTTGTTTCCCTTTCTTGGCTAGCCTAGAGTAAAGGAGCCGGTAATCGGCCAGCTCCAGTTTTCGGCCGATTGGTTGGATGCAAGGTAAAATCCCTCTAAAATACATCGCATAATAGCATAACACATATCCCACACTAGACCGAAAACTTCAGTCTCTCTAATCGTCGGTTGTTCCACTGAGACTACGTCTGGCTCCACTAGACCTCCGATTACAGAGACTGAAGTCTGGGGACCTCTTTCTGTGAGGCACTGTACGGAACAAATGGTTCGGTTCGACCGGACCGCGATGAATGAGATATGCAACGAGATTTTCACTCTTTACATCCTCATAACTGCTGGAATTACAACACAAATTAAAAATAACATATATATAGCTTATTTGACTTACGATAGCTTGCTCATTTAGATCCTAAATTAATGATTAATCCGAGAAAGTCTCGTCGTCAACATTATCCGTCTTGGTTTTAGTTGATGAATATTCATTTTTTCTTTTCGAACGTCCAATAGCTACCGTAGCTACGTACGAGTCGGCCCAGCTTGACCAACGAACTCCCACGAAACGAGTGCTCTGATTGGCCATTTGGCTATGTTTTGGTAGGTGGACCCGGAAATATATCGGCCGCCGGGTAATATTTCGAATGCATGAACGTACCGTTTCACAGTTCGGAAATACAAATTGGATAATTCATATAAGTAAGTCCGTAAATTATACATTTAATATTAAGTTATCAAATTTTGATAACTGTAATTAGGACAAATGACATACCGACCTAATTTACATCTGATTTAGAAATCAGAAAATTAGATCTAAATAAAGAAAATCGGGGAGAAAATGTTTTGACACAAAAAGCTGCCATTGTTGGCTATAGCTACCCCCATGGTACGAGATCTCTGGGTTGCCATCTGTATTGGGGAATGACAACAAATGTCAGTTTTATTAAAGAAATGACCCAAATCAGATGGTTATTGCTGTCTAATCCCACACATACCCTACCATGCCAGTGTCACTGAAGAACCACATTTGCAATGAAAAATATATCCTAAAATATCACATTTTAGCGATGCAATCGGCGGTCCCGCTACCCGAATCTGAAAAATCGAGTATCTTACGCGTGTCTGTAAGAAATATGGGTACCATAAAATGAGCTTTATTTCAAGTATTTTTCAGATTTAGAGCCCGATTTTGTGCTAGTCGCAAGCTCAAAAGTATCTCATCGCATGTATTAAATCAATGCAGCCGCACACCGCAACGCACACACAATATCTCTGTCTAATTCAGATTCCAATATCCGATCACCGCAGTACTAGTTTTCGGCCTGGCGATCTCCGGGGAGCTCCGGCGTGGGATATCTGCTCCGCCCGCTAGTGCTATAGATCAGCGTGGAAACGCACGGCACGTGCGTGCGCTTCCTATTGACTTTGTACATGCGGCCGAAAAACTGGTACGCTATGCCAAAAACTGACTCCGAAACAGTGAAAATTGAAATGAATATTGTCATGGCAATTCGTGATTTTTTTCTGGGATTCTTGTTTTGTTTAAATAATAATAATATTTGCTTCATGATTTGAACAAAAAATGATAATAAATAGGAAGTAAAGGGTCCAAAAAATAGGATTTTGTCTTAAGTGGCCGAAAACCGGCTCCTTTACTCTATATGTAGAACCAACAGTAACAGCAACACAAACTGACGAAGATATTCTTTTCCACAAGATTTATTTTTGCTGTTTAACTTTTGTATTGTTTTGTTGAATTATTTTGCCAAGGTTTGTGTGAACATCCTTTTCCTGCCCACCTCCTTGCACTCATAGCAGCATAACTATATGCTGTGTGTAGTAGAAAAACAAACTTAAAGACACCTTCTGAATTCTGTTGATTCTCATTACGTTCACTGGACAAAACTCACCAGAATTCACTCAGAATTGGCACTTTACTTTTAGTGGAGAAATGAAGACACCTAGATCTAATTACTAGCAGTAGAAAACAAACAATTCAACTCATCGATGTTGGTAGTATTTTGAGGATTTAAATCAGAAATCTATCATCAATCCCATTTGCATTTCACCAATGACAACTTTCAAATTCCTTAATGGCATACATTCTTATTTTTACTCAGATTTTGCTCAAACTTTCACTGACCTGTTTCTCTAATTTTCCTTCTTCTTTTAAAACCAACTTAAATGACTACTCACCATCCCCTTCAAGAAATACCTTCACAGTTAATGTGTCTGAATTTGTTTCTGATTAGAGGAGCTACTTATATTTAGCCCAAACAAAGTTCATTATTGAATGTCTTAAGTGGATATTTAGGAGTGGACACTCCAGACTTGTCTAAAATAGCAGTGTTTGTCAATTTGAATACAACCTGATTGCCTACTAACAAGCATTTATGCTTTCTTAGCAGCCAGGTAAAATAACCACCACTTATCACAGTCATGAATCTTATTTGATAATTGATTGCTTTAAATTGCAGGTACTCGTTTTCGGCCACTCTCCCTGGAGCTTCCGAAACCTTTGTTTCCAGTAGCTGGCTTCCCCATCATCTATCATCATATTGAAGCATGTAGCAAGGTATAATGAGCTATTATCCTTCATTCTGAACTCTGAAGGTAGTGTTGATTGAAGAATGTGCAGGACCATAATACAGGGATAACCACACAAAAATATCAATTTAATGTATAAGTGATGAATGAAAAAATTTAAAGGTAGGCAAAGGGAAGGCACAAGCAATATTTTAAAGTTTATAGCATCCTCTGTGGTTGGAGGTAGGGGTGGGGGGCTTTATGTAATAATGTAATGAATGAAAACAGAACAATTCTTAGATTGTATCTCATCCAGTCTAAATAGCAAATTTTAGAGTAAAATATATGTTAATACTTGTGATCACTCTTAATTCTAATAATGTCAAAATACAAGTGACTTCTAAATGCAATCTTTGAGTTATTTTTTTATGATATTTAGTCCTGTATATTGTAACTTATTGGCATATTCTATTTTCCTTGTTTACATTCCTTTGATGTCCTTTGTAGCTGCCAGATATCCAAGATGTTTTGTTGATTGGGACCTACCAACCCAGTGACTCTCTCAACAGATTCATCACATCAGCTCAGAGAGAATTCAAGTTCAACATAAGGTAAATAGAAATACTTACTTAACCATCTATTCTTCACAGTGGCTTCAGAAGAATTATGTTCACCATTAGGTAAATAAAAACAGTAACCTTAGCACATTCTTCACGATGGCTCAGAGACTTCTGATTCAACATTAGGTCACTAAAAATATGTACAATAGCATCTCCATGGCAATAGCTCAGAAAAGATTAAATCTTGAGAAGAAAAGAAAATTACCCTGTGATGCTGTGAACATATTCATCATAACAGCTCAGAGGGAATTCAACTTCAAAATAGTTGATTAGTTGGGTGTGCCTGTAATGAAACCATGACACAACATTCAGATTACCCTTCCATTAAACCAGGTACCTACAGGAATACACAGCTTTAGGAACCGCTGGAGGACTGTACCACTTCAGGGACCAGATCCTGAGTGGCCAACCCAAGGGGTTCCTGGTCTTCAATGGGGACGTGTGCTGCAAGTTCCCTCTGGCCGAGCTCTGGGACTTCCACGAGAAGGTGTCGCAAGATGACCACTACACCATGCTGTCAACAGAGGTAGGCTTGATACCAAGGCTGGGCATTATTAAGCAGGCCTCCAAATTTTCACAATTCTAAATGGGCTTATGCTTACAACCCTAAAATCTGGACACCCTATAATGTGGAGTCCTGCTGGGATAATTCCATTTCCATTCATATATTTTCAGTCATGTTTTTTCATTATAGCAGCATATATTTTGGATGCAAAGATATAGCTTATGAAGAATTATATAAGTGTTGCTAATTTGCTAATTGAACTTTTAAAATCCCTGTCATTTATTGGTTAACAAAATTATATTGAACTATACCTTGTGAATGTCCACCTTTGCTCTACCAGCCACATACATGTTGTATTTATAGTGTACATTGTTCTCTCTTTGCCTGTAGACCATCAGTGCATAGGGATCCTCAGTTTGGCAAGAATTTTCTAAAAGGGATCCCTTTTTGTACCCTTTTGCCAACATGCTTGCCAAACTAGTTGAGGCTCAGCTCCGGGGTCAAGTGATTGCTAGTCTGCAATCACAGACCCCTTATCAACCTTATTCTGACTGTACAGAATCCATGTCTGCTGTGCAACCGCTGCACATTTCAACTTGCCTTTGAGTGACTTTTTCCTTTCAAGTATCGCGCAGCTCTTGAGACTTTGTTCACAAAAATCTGATAATCCTTTGTGAGGTCAAGCAACATTTCATTACTCAGCCGTTATACATTTTCTACCAAAATTGTTTTGCATGTGTCATTTATTTGTAATCTTGAACAATCAGTGTAAATTTTGTTGAATTCTGTGAGAATTTAATTGTTTATATATTCCAGAACTCAAGTTTATCTTTAATAGCAAAGGTGAAAATTTTTCTATTTTGAATTTACATGTACATTTTTTTCTTTTCCTTTGTAGGCAACCAGGGACCAGAGTCTTTCATATGGGTGCTTAGTGGAGAATGAGAACACACATGAGGTCAGTGAATTTCATCTTTGGTTAGAGATCTTGAAAGGGACAAGTCACCAAAGTATATGTTGCTCTATATATTTGATGTTCCATATATTTCTTCTGTCAAGGGGTTTTGCAAGTTTGAATACACCGTGAAAAAGGCATCTAGTAAATAAGCTATTCAGCTCACCCACATGCACCTACAAGTGCGCGAAATTTAATTCCAAGTTAACATCTTTTTGGCCCCAATATCGAATCAAGTTTTCCCTTCATTCTTCTTGATTCATAATCATATGTTTTATACAGATTTTCATGTGTAATAGTACAACACTTCTTATGATATACAACTAGTAATGTTGATGATCGGGCCCATTTGAATCTGAGTTGGAGTAAAAATTTGGTTGATATTTGCTCTATGAAATTTGTAGCGAGGTTCTAAATGTTGCTTTACTGATAGAAAAAATGCTGTTTATGGTCCTTAACTTTGTGAAATATGGATATCATAAATCATAATACATGTACCAATATTTTGATTATTTTTTTTCTTCTTCAAGGTCATGCACTATGTAGAGAAGCCCCAAACCTTTGTCAGTACGGTGATCAATTGTGGACTCTACGTCTTTCCACCAGAGATCTTTCAGCACATTGGGAAAGCCTTCCAGCAAAACCAGGATGAAGTGCTCAAGTAAGTTCATTTAGTTTCATGTACATACATTACACTCTACCTCAGCTTGCTGATGGCAACATCTTTGAATAGGCTCTTTGGTTATTGTGATGTTATCTTTCTTCCTCCTTCTCAGGAGAAAGAGCAAAAAAAGTAGTGTAATTTTTTTGTTATTTCTTCCGTGATGTTATTGTTGCGGTATTTTTATGCCTCCACTACAAAGTAGGTAGTTCACTGTAGTCTTTTAAATGGTGTCAAGGTCATTTCTATTTCTAATTTTTCATGTGTAATTTGTATTAAATTTATTGAATGTTGTGTGCAATGAAATCCACACCTTAGCTAGAGCCCGAGTAATATAGGAGCACCATGAACACCTTGCATGTGCTTAAAAATATTCAATATTTTTTAATCATTATTGACTCTTCCCGTTATTCTGGTTGGTTCTTTCTGTTTCTCATTAAATGTGATTTTGTATTAGTTTACCATTCATCTGTCATTGTTTATTAGAGCTGTTTCAACTAAAGTCTTTGAAATTCTTCCCCATGCATTTTCAGTGGAGACCCCTTATTCCCCTCCAAAGACACAATACGCCTTGAACAGGACATCTTGGCACCTCTAGCTAGCACGGGGAAACTCTTCACTTTCAAGACAAATAATTTCTGGAGCCAAATCAAATCTGCAGGGTAAGTTGTACAACAATCGTCCTGCTTGTAGAAGAATTTTTGTTTAAATTGGATCCCACGGTATGATGTCATAATAGCATTTGGTGTACATTTTCTGGTTTTTAGGTATTTGATGAATACCAATCAAATCATTCTTCATGATATTGGCTACCTAATGAGGTCTTGTAGGCCTTGAAAATTGATAGCATGCAACAAGAAACATAATCATTCTTTTGAAAGCAAGTATTTGATGAGCAGATATGACATGAATCATAATTGTCATTGTTCTAAACTAGTGAACCCCTTCTGTTCAATTGGTTAGTGATTATCACAAATTGATATTTAAAAAAAAAATTAATTTTTTAATCATTATTAATTCTTTTTGAAATTAGACTTATAATGTCTTTTAAAAAAAACATGAGGAAATAAAAGGAAAAAAACTATTTTCTTTTTTTACTGCTCACATGTACGTAATGGCAATAGTGCAATCATCAGATATATTATAAAACAAAGTATCTGGTATTTAACTAGGTTATCTTCTATTTCATAGGTCAGCAATCTTTGCCAACAGGCTATATCTCAGTCTGTACCATGAAACTCATCCCGACCGATTATCAGATCCTAAATCAGAAACGGGACCATCGATAAGAGGGGATGTCTACATTCATCCTACTGCTACTGTAGATCCTACAGCTACGGTAACATAAAAGATCTTTTTTATTTTTCCCCCTTCCTTATCCATTTTCACCCCTGCATTTAGGCAATCCTGTAAAATGTGTCCTATATAATACATTTATTTTATCCCTTATTTCGTTTCAAAAATTATAAATCACTAGATGATATCATCACCTTGTGTTGCTTTCTGTTATAGGGCACTATACAGCTACAGTCAAACCTGTCTATAGTGACCACTCAAGAGAAACACAAAAAGTAGTCTTTGTAGACAGGTTCCTTTAGTACATGTTTCAATGAGAAACCATTTACAAGGGAAACAAAAAATGTGGTCTTTGGAGACAGGTGGTCACTAAAGCAGGTCTAACTGTATTTGTAGTCAGGATACTAGATACTGGTACTTCATGATGCAAAAGCTCCACTCAATCATTTCTTTTCTTCCTCTTCTTTTTTAAAACCCAAATGTTCTGGTATTCATAATGATAGATCATTCTTGTAAGTTGTATCATAAATGGTTTTATTTTAGCTTGGTCCAAATGTGACGATAGCAGCCAACGTAACGATCGGAGCTGGAGTCAGGGTCAGGGAATCCATTGTCTTAGAGGGCGCTACACTACAGGTGAGTCCTGTGCCATTGATTAGGAGAGTTTGGCCGACTAGGTTTCACTGAGTCACAACATGGCGTATATTCTTTTGTTTTGTGCTTGCCCAACAAAGCAGTAGTAGCCATATTGTGACCAACTCGGAACAGGGTTGACCAAACTCTGTGGATAGATGACTCTGGGTGAGTCAGGAGCAGGCGCATAGCCATGGGGGGGCACGTGCCCCCCCTAAAATTTCCAAGATCGGTTGATTTTTTTTAGACCCCTTTTTTTTACCTCGATCGATTACATGTAAGTGCCCCCCCAAACATCGAACTCTGGCTACGTGACTGGTCAGGAGCACATTGAATTAAAAAAAAATTAAGTTTGGTACAGTCCATGGCAGCATATGAGTTAATAGGTTAATTTTCCACCTACCTTAAAGGGGAAATCTACCCAGATAGTGAGTTGGTATCAATAGATGCAAAAAAATAAGAGAAACAGGTCAGTGAAAGTTTGAGCAAATTTCGATAAAGATTAAGAAAGTTATGATACTTTGAAGTTGCAAGTAATCAAACAAAAATTGGCAACTCTGTTTTAACTAAAAAAAATTTTATTAAATACCTTTAGATGTAAGCTTTAATAAGTCACATCCTCAAGAAACAAATCAGGAAAAAATCAATTTTCCACCTTCCTTAAAAATGACAAGACTTGGTAAGGGTATGAATAATTTGGTCAACTGTACATACCCAGTCCTTTATATTACTGTACCTGTTATACCTATAGGATCACTGCTGCATTCTTCATAATATCATTGGATGGAACAGCATGGTAGGGGCGTGGTCAAGGGTCGAGGGTACGCCCGATGACCCCAACCCCAACTTGGACTAGCCTTTATATTCCTTTATATTAATGTACCTGTTATACCTATAGGATCACTGCTGCATTCTACATAGTATCATTGGTTGGAACAGCATGGTAGGGGCATGGTCAAGGGTCGAGGGTACGCCAAATGACCCCAACCCCAACTTGGACCACGCCAAGATGGACAGCGGGACGCTCTTCAACGGGGATGGCAAACTGAACCCGTCAATTACCATCTTGGGTAAGATACACCTTCAATCATTTTAGAATATTAATGCCTTAAAGCCATACTGCACAAGTAAATCCCCTGTAGCGCTATCTCAGGTCAGCTGTGACAGTATGGTCCCATTCCTTGCTGCTTCCCTACATGTAGCTACGCCCTTAGTTCTCGTATCGAGTCCTCTATCTGCAAAGCGGAATTAGGTATTGGGTTACGCGCTGTTGGCAAGATGATGCTGTGCAATAAGCAGTACGCTAGGGCATAAAGTTCATTAGTTCAGTATCGCTTTAATGCTGGGGTATTGAGGCTCCATTCAATTTTAAGTGCATGCCAAGTTGAAATTATAAAAAGCATCATTGGGTTAATATTATTTGCAAACATTGCATGAAATGAAATTATGAAAAATTCCATCGTAAATGAATGAAGCTAAAAATAAAAGGATTAATATCAGCAGTCATTACATCACTATATTTCATGAAAATTCCATTGTAAATACATGCAAAGTGAAAACAAGGACATCAAAAGGTTAATAGCAATTGCAAACATTACATTTCTATATTTCATTTAAATTCACATTTATTTAAATGCATGCAAACTGAAAGTGAAAATAAATTCAAGAGGGTTAATGCGTTTCATTACTACATCTTACATTTATGAAAAAATATTGGCTCATTTTACCCTGCGCTTTTCCCCGTTTTTTTTCATGAAGTTTCATTTGGGATTTTTTATAATGCTTATCTCTGTCCTGGTAAAAGATCCCCATTTGCATATAAGCGTACATTTCATATAAGCTGGGCTTATTTATTATCATATGAGCTTAGTCATTGGATTTCATTTGCTTTTTGCCTAATAGGAATTTTTTCTTGTGATCAGATAACTCGATGTGTGGATGCACACATATATTTACAATAATCTCTTTCTCTGTGTGATGTAATTTGAGTTTTTAAGGTTTGCATTTAATTTTCCATACTTTTTTTATTCAATTAATATCTCTTTTTTGTAAACTTCACAGTTAACATAATCACTTCAATCTAATCTCTCTTTCTATTTTGATGATTTACTTACTGTAGGTAGCAATTTGTGAAATGAATATGATATGGAATTTCACACTTGACTTCATTCAAGTATTTTCTTCATAATCAATATGCTTAACAAAGTACAAGTAGTATTTTTTATATTAATCCATTTTTATACTAATGTGTACAGAGTACATTAGATAACAAATTTTCTTCATCAGCAGTCATTTTTTCGATCAACCCTCTTTCATTTATAAACATTTGTTTGTTAATCTATGAGTGACGAATCATACACTACAACCTGTACATATTATACCTTTCCCAGAAATGTTAGATATGAATTGATCGACTTAGAAATCATGTTAATATATGTTCATGTCTGATATACAGAACAGTACAGTGTACCGGTATGGTATTCAGTCATTATGATAATAGTAAATGTAGGTGATAGTGTTTTTTAAAAAAAAATTAATGAGTTATCCAACCAGGGTAAACTTAATTTGTGTTCATTGCTGAAACATATCCAGTATATTTTTTTTTTTTACTTTTTCCTAATTAATAACCACTAAATTGAACTGATTTACCAAATTCAGAAGGAAATTGTTAAATGGTATAAATACATGTATAGTCAAAAGTTCAGTTTTATTTTGGTTCACATATGCATAAACTGAAAGTCCAGAATATTTCACTACAATTTTAGTCATTTATATGTAATGATGATACCAACATTTTTTCGACAATCAATCATGATAGCTGATCCAAAATCACCTTTTCTGAAGTCCTGTTCTTTCCATTTCTGTCTTACTACTAAATGTTGTGTGACAATGTATAAGATGGCCACTCTGGCGACTTGTCCTCTGGCCACGATTGCCCTGGGCTTATATTACAGAGCAATTGTTGCTAGAGCTTGTGTGTCGTAGAACCTGGAGCACAAATAATGTATGTGTGTGTGTGTGTCTCTCTCTCTTTCTCTTTTTGTCTGACACACATCCCTGGTGGTGTCACTTCATATTTATGCAAAAGATGCATCACATTATCATCAGTCGAGTATAAAATGACCCCTTCCCCCCTTTTTGGCTTACTTTCAAGATCATTTTCCACAACATTTTACCCCTTTTTTTTCTTCATAAAACCAAGCATCCAATGCAAAATGGGCTCTAAATATAACCCTATTTTGGCTTGTCAGGTACACATTCACCAAAAAGTACCCTATTTTTCGCAAAAACAGTTACATACTCGCATCCATATGTATGCTTGCAAACAGTGTGAAGATATCAGAGATGACCTAAAGCCGTCGGTCCTCTGGTTGCTTACCAATAAGCATTTATGCTTTCTTAGCAGTCAGGTAAAAAAAAAAAAACACTTTCAATAAATTATTGCTCTTTCAAAATAACTTGTTTGTCCCTTTTTCTTTCAAATCTGTGAAAACATTGAAGCGTTCACCAACGTCCCTGAAATTATCCCTTTTTGCCAAATTTCTATAATGTATACACAAAGGTCAATATGAAGTGACCCCACTGGGGCGCACGTCTCTTCTAACCCTGCCTTACTACCGCTATCTCTAGGTGGCAAGGTGGTGATCCCTCCGGAGGTCATCATCCTGAACTCCATCGTCCTGCCTCATAAAGAGCTGGGATACAGCATAAAAAACCAGATCCTCCTCTAGCATCTATTAGGTATGCTGTCGTAGCACCGCATCCTTACTTTATAATTGATTATGATGATTATTGTATTTATGAGTATTGTTGTTGATTATTAGATTAGTGCATCCCCTTGTTTTTTGTTTGATATTTTAAATATTTTTCCTAGTTATATGATGTATTTATTTTTTTGTTTATTTATTCATGTGTTCAGTTATATTTTCTTCATTATGTTAGTTTATTATTATTATTAGAAGTAGTAGAAGTAATATTAGTAGTATTGTTGTTGTTTTAATTATTGCTATCATTATCATTAACATTATTTAATTAAGTATTCAACATTTAAATCTGTTGATTGTGTAGAAATTCAATTTTCGATTTCATTTATTTTCACCAATTCATAATAAGACAATATAAATTACAATCAAATATAAAAGCATTAAAACAAAAGATGAACCTGCAGAGGGGGTTTGATCAAAAACCATAGAGGTCAATTGGGGATCATCCCCTGCTTAAAACTAAAATATTAAAATGCAATAGCTTTTTTTAAAAATCATACAATGAACACATATAACACACACAAGAAATATATAAATACTACAAGCAATCCTAACAGCTATCCTGATTCAATCTTTTTGAAAGAGTAACTATAGAAGGTACAACTAGCATCCTGGGATACAGATAAATACTATTAGGTAGGCATGCAGTGTAAAAACAAGAACTGTTTTGATTTTCCAAAGAACAAATGTATTTTCTTTTTTAATCCGAGCTCATGGAATCTAAAATGCTCACAGTTCCTATATTTTGCTGGTTATTATTCTGTCTTTTTTTCAATTTTGTTCTTTTTTTCCCTTCTAATTTTATTGCTTGCATATTGTGTGGCATAATGAGAATGCATGCTATGAAGACGAGTACTATTCTGTGCTTAATGGAAGAGTTAAGTGCACATTTCTGTGCTTGTTTTGTTGCTTTTTAGATTAGAAAACAAAAAGAGATGTCATGCATGATAACCAAGCTGCTGAGGAAAATAGCACTTGCTATCAAGAGAAAATAACCTCTGTATATCCTTGCATAGATTCATTTAGATTTTGTGTTTAAATAATTTGATATTTTGCCTCGTTTTAACAATTATTTTACACATTTGATTTTTCGACAAACTTTATTTTTGGTTTATAGGGATATTTATTTACTGAGTTTTTCTTTTCCTGTTTTTCATTATTTTACAGATGTTATTTTTTTCTTCCAATAAAAGTTAATAAGTATGTACATCAGATGAGAAAGGGGATGGCAATTTATTGACAAATTTTACAATAATCAGTCAATCAATTTTGTAGCAATTTGTTAGTTTTATTCAGTGGAAGGAAGAGCTAAGCTTCAAAATACATGTACATGTACCAGGTATACAATATGTTTATATGGGAATTTTGCATGTTAATTGTATTGCCACTTTTATAAAAGGGTGCCTTTACATATGGATCAGGGGTACAATATTACTACCAATCTGGCCATGTTTGTGTTTGATATCAATACAGCCATAAATTTTACATGTTTTTAGTTATCATTTCTACAATCCACCTTTTTTCAGATTTCCAAGACCCTAAAGCGTCCTATTATTAGCAAGATTCTGAATGTTTTGTGCATCTTAGAAATTTCCTCCAGAATAGGGTCTTGATCACAGCATTTTCATATGTAAACCCTTTTTTATTTCGTTTGATAGTGAATGCCTTCAGCTCTCAATGCTTACATGTTGTAACCATATATTTTTTTGTGTGAATATTTCATGCACATCATTTGACAACTTGTGTTTTATTCCACTCTACTCACTCCACTCGTCTGCACTCACTCTGTAGTAACACACCACATACTAAGTTTAAACATTTACCAGATCTGAAATCAATTTTTTTTTTCCTCTGCATTTTCATGTTAACCTGTATAATCCAATATACCATCAGCTTCTCCCTATTAAAGCCATGTGTATTTCAAAACAATAAGCTCTACCCAACACCATGTGTATACATGTATTTCAGCACAATTAGCCTACCTTAAACCATGTACATTTCAGCACAACTGCCTACCGGACACATGTACATTTCAGCACGATTTATACATGTGTAGCCTAATTACCCTAAACCATGTATATTTCAGTACAATTACATTCACGCCACCTAAATTTTCAGCTTAAACAGAAACTGAAACAAATTGTGGCAGAGATTATACCAGTGAATTTCAGTCTGCCACTTTCAGGGAAAAGAAATGGACATGTACCTCAGTGTGAAAACTTTCAAACTCTGAAAATGTTCAAAATCTGAAAATGTTGCATGCAGTCATGTTTTTCCCTGTGTTCTGTATTGCTCTGGTTCATGTATTTGTAGTTCATTGAATGTATTATTTCACAAAAGTGACTTGTTTTTATACATTTTTACTACCATGTTAGTAAAAGAAACTGTTCAACATATTTTAAAAGAAGATCAACATTTGTATTCTGGGTAAAAAACACAATATTTCTTTTCTATTGGAATAATAGAATACTGTTTAAAAGATACAGTACAAATTATCCTGAAATTAAAGATAACATAACTATAGAATAAATTTCCTCTTGATTCCTACATACTTTTTGCCACAACTACAATTTTTCTTCCCATCAAATTTTGGACATATTTTTTTTCAACATGTATTTTCAAAAGTTAAACACATGTAGTACTCTAGAAACCAGGAGCTTATTGAAATGCATTTTACTTTTACACACGGTTTGTGTTCCAATTGTCCGGAAAGCCTGTCCCAGTCATTTAAATCTCCAAAAAGCAATTAAATACTTTAAATAATATCAGGCTTATCTTGCACATAATATGTTGCCATCTCTGTGCACTTAACAAATGTATCAAAAGAACATACCGTGCTTATAGAATTTAATTGTACATTAAAAAAAAAATAATAATAATAATAATAATGTAATTGTTTATCATTGTATTTTGTTTGTTATAGCGCTTAGAGACTTTGATAGAAAGCGCTTTTTAAGTTTCGTTTTTATTATTATTATTATTATTATTATATCTTATACCAAATTTGGAATAGCTTCAGTAACTTAATTTATTAAATCTATTTTCTGTTTTAGGTACCAATGTGAGCATTCCTCCAGAAGTGATGGTGCTGAACGCCATTTTGCTGCCGGATAAACAGATCTCCTCCAGCTTCAAGAACCAGATATTGCTCTAGGTTGCACGTACATGTTTCTCTGAGAACTTAATACATGTACCCATACATTGCTTTTCATGTTGGAAGCTTTGTAAGACGGAGGTGTGGCGTACAGTGGTTATAATCTATGTACACCAGAAGGCCTTTTTAGGATAGACTCTTGTTTGATTCTTCATCAACACTTTCCCTGCTGCTTCAAAACAACTAATCAATATGATAAGTCACAAACCAGAGAATTTTAGCCGCTCCCAATCATACAAGACTATCTTATTGCATATTGTAAAGAGAACCCACTAAAAGTGTACCATTCACCAAAACATGTGTTAATCTATGTGGTGTTCTACATCGCTATACTGTACTTTCAGAAAGAGATACTGCAGTAAACAGTAAAATAACTTTTGAGTGGACAAGTTAACGCAGGTGTACACTCTCGCAAGGAATAGAGTGCACATGGAACCCACGTTGTTCTTGTTTATGTTATCCCTTATTTTCTTCATTCTCCTTAATGTACTGAAAGCCAGGGAATGTGTTCTTTATGTTGACTTTTTTCAAGTTGACTGGTACACTTCAAGTTTCATCTTGTGTCAACAGTCATCAATTGCTGATTGATCATAGCGAGAACCAACAATGAAAGAAGAAGAAGTTTTGAAGGATAACATTTGAATTTAAAATCTTTTCTCTGCTTTCTCCAATTAAAATGAGCCTTTTGTACCAACATAATCAAATATTTTTTTTCTTGTTTCAGATCCTCGGAATTAATATATTGATGTTTTCAAAAATTTGCACGTAACTTCTAGTGATCAATTTATTTAATCTGTTTAATAATAGTTGTAGACAGATAGCAAGTAGCACTAATTACCCTATTTATCATCAACAGAAATTTTGTGACACTTGAAAGTCCAATGGTAATTTTTTTTATTGGAATATTATATTTTACTAATCTGTAATTGCATGTAAAGAGAATAATTGTGGATTACTTTTGTGTTAATTCCTACAGTAAATGTGTGTTGGTATAAAGTGAAAGTGCTTTTGAAGCAAGGCTTGCAATACAAGTGAAAAAGCTTTTTAATTTAAGGGTTTCAGAATTCTGAAATCTGCTTACAGGACGATTACAAATGATTTGATTTTGATTTATGCGGATGTTGAGGAAATATTTTTTTTCTTCACTTTCGCCAGGAATAATTTTTGATCGTGTAAATTTGAGAACGAGACATGTGAATAAGATTTTACAGTATGATGTCAAGAATAATTTTATTAGTCTGAATTAAGGCTGAACTATTTTGTATTTATTAGATGAAATGTATGAAGTTGTTTATACATGTGCTACTTGTAAAATTCGGTAATAAAGAATCAACTTTATAATTATGATATTTCTTGTTTTAATACCAAGTATGAATATAAAGTACTTTCCCCATTAACAAATGTATTTCATGTAAATACATGTTTAAACATCTCGATTCTTATTTCTCTTTTTAAAAGAGTAAGATATTGAAGAATTAAGCCCGAAAATTGCAGCACTTGCTTTCAGAATTAGGAAATATCCTCCTCAAATTGAGGTTCTGTGTGAGGAAGGAAAGTTGATCCAGAATGAAGTCATGTACATGTGTAACTTAAAAGAGACAGGTGAAGGGGAGCAGGAGAGAGAGAGAGAGAGAGGGGGAGAGAGAATGGTGAAAGGGGAGCAGGAGAGAGAGAGAGAGAGAGAGAAGGGGGAGCAAGAGAGAGAGAGAGAAAGAGAAAGGTGAAAGGGGAGCAGGAGAGAGAGAGAATGGTGAAGGGGGAGCAAGAGAGAGAGAGAGAGAGAGAGAGAGAGAGAAGGGGGAGCAAGAGAGAGAAAGAGAAAGGTGAAAGGGGAGCAGGAGAGAGAGAGATAGAGAAAGGTGAAGGGGGCAGGAGAAAGGGAGAGAGAATGGTGAAGGGGGAGCAAGAGAGAGAGAGAGAGAGAGAGAGAAAGGTGAAGGGGGAGCAGGAGAGAGAGAGGTGAAGAGGGAGAGAGAAAGGTGAAGGGGAGCAGGAGAGAAAGAGAGTGATAGTTCAAGAGCTAGAGATACATGTACTTCTTTTGCTACATGTGTAGGAAATTTGCAGTTTATTTGAAGACGAGTTGAAAGAAAAGAGAATAAAAATAGAGAATGGGAAACTTTTAACTGATAAATCTGGAACTATGTCAGGCAGAGGATGATATACTGAAATTATATTTGTCTTGCATATAGTGAAATTCACTATCTGCAAAGGGTTCATCACAATCTAGCTGTTAATAATGGGGGGGGGGTGGTTCTGTAAAATTTAGAATGGAATAGAATGTTTGCATAGAATAAGTTTTTATGAAGTCTCTTCTAATTCAGCACAACTATTTCAAGTTGAATATACTGAACTTCTTAAATTTACATGTAGATATATAGGAATAGACATGGATATAAAATATAAACACCTTATGGAAGATGTTAGATTAACTGAGAGAGTATATAAGGTCAAGAAAATGGAGAAGAAAAAAAACAGGATTTGAAGTTATCATTAAAGGTAAAGACCAGTTATGGTCATGCGATTGCATTGTGAAAGAAACGTTGTGGAATAGATCAGAAAATGTTGATCATCGAGCATCTAGCATCTGCAAGGTTCTGGAATCATCAAAATGATAAAAAATTTGGCCCATTCTTCGTAAAGTTACAAGCACTATACACAGAAAGATGTATATGGGACTACCCTATATCTCTCACAGTCCATGAGAGAAACAAATTTACCAAATATATGAATTAGTAGGCGGTTTCCCGGCAAATTTTTTATCATCATGTATTAGTCAAAACGTATTCTTCCACATGATTGGTAATGAGAGCTTCCATTTCATTTTTTGAAATTGGGGCGTTTCCAATACTGGTCTTTATCTTTAATATCAACACACGCTACAAAACATTAAAAAACATCACATCTTGTATTCCTTTTATATAAAAATGTATTTGTAAAATTCAGTGTATGATACAATATATACATTACACGTTATCATAGTTACTTTTTCTTTTTACATTGTGCATGCACTTCATAAACTCAGTCTAAACCCTATTTCAAAACAATAAATTAACCACCACAAAACATGTTTTTAAAAGTAGAGATAAAAAGAAACAATGATTGTCACCTGCAGCTTTTAAACAGTGTGTTGTGCAGTGCTGATTCATGAAAGAGGAAATAACTACAGTTTATTTCAGGAAAAACCGAGGGAATGACTTGTAAAGGGCATCGAGTGGGCATATTTCATTATTATTCATGTTTTACAGTGGAACCTCACTAAAACAAGCACTTTGACCTGTTTTCTATCAATTCAGTGAAAGAAGTGGAAATATTCGTTCCAACTCAATTTGTCAAAGTCAACTTTAAACCTAGCTTAAACCCTGCATAGGGTTTTAAATCTAATAGAATTGGAACCATTACCTACAAGTAGCTTATACCGGTAGTTGTTACATTGAAACTTTGAATATCAGATAAACATAATAGAAAACAAAGCTGCAAAATGACAATGTAATTAGGGTTTTTTCCTCAATGGTCATCAAAAAAGAATGCAGATATTTAACTCAAGATCACAAACATTATAAAAAATACATATGTACAAGCATGTACTTTGTTCATTACAAAAATATCCCCAAAACAACAACTAATGTACAAAGTAATGAAAGAAAATATTTAAAGAAAAAGTGAGGATTTCATCCGAATTAGTGCAGTATGATTATTAATCACCCAGAGTGCTATCTTTACCAAATGTACCAAGAGTGCATTGTGTGAAATATTGGAAAGGACAATGCTTTTCAAAAAAAGACTAAAAAGTTATGGCATACTTTGGCAAGAATACTTTTTATCCTGTTGAAGTATAAATATCTTCAATAATCATAAAAGGTGTATAATTATAATTTCAACTGTTTTCTAAACAACTTTTAAGTACGGTATGTCACAAGGTTTCTTAAATATTATGAAGTATAACCTACAGTATTTCAAAAATGTTCTGAACACATATTCTACACTATACAATTTTCCTTTCTGATCTGGTAATATCAGGGTCACAAATCACTTGTAACAAGAACACAAAACAAAACAAAAATTAATATATACACCTATACATAGATCATATTTATGAACTACATACATCTGAGAAAAATATCAGACCAATAAAATGCTTTGCAAGTCACTTACATGTATCATATGGCATTATCAAACAGTTTACATATTTTATCGTTTAATAGATTTTCATGTGAACCAATCTTCCCCCAAATTTGCATAAGACTCCAGAAATTGAATCCAAAACATCCCATTCACAAATATGAATAATGTAAAGGTTGTAGAAAGGTACATAATATTGTGTTCTGTCTTTGCTTTAACCTCTGACATACATGTGTCTCACAGTCCATTTGTGTTGCTACTATAATACATGTATTACATTACTAGTAAACTAAAAGCTGTCTTGTCAAACATGCGTTGGCTTTTGACAGTTGAAATAGTACTGGCAAGTACAAACACTGCCAACAAACTATGCAGTCCAATAAATCTGGATTGAGCACAATAATAGGTACTGTCCTGAAGTTTTTAATAAGTTATAGTATTTACCCTAAAATAAATCTGTAAGATCATAATACTGAAATGTGTGTCAGCAGCCCACACCCCTACTAGGTTTATGGTCGTCCTTTGAAGCGTGAACATTGACAATAAGAGCAAGAGTGAAAGAAAGTATATGATTTTCCTTAATATTTGTATTCCTATAATATGTAGGACAAATTATGGCACAAATCATTGGCAAACACTTTCTTTTAAAAAAAAAGGATTAAAAAAAAAGAAAAAATATATACACCCTGTTTTACCTAGGCAACGATGGGCATCCATATCCATACTAAGTCAAAAGTATATCATGTACATTCAAAGGGTTTTTGAAAATCTGTAGTGTTATTATCAGCAATTACATGTATGACTCCTTAATTTCTATTGAATATTTCATAAACCAGATCTATGCTGGGTTTAAGTTTGGTCTGAAATATGGACAACAAAGTAACATATTAGGACTTAGTCTAAGTCTTTTCATCTAATCTAACATCAGGGCCCCGATTCATAAAGCTTGTTATCAATAACAACTGCTACAGATCTATGATAAATCTGCTCACAGCCAATCAAAAGCAAGGATTTCAGTAGCTTATAACAATTATCATAACTTGTTATTGATAACAAGTTTCATGAAACAGGGCCCAGGTCTACATTTATTAACAGTAAAGCTGTTCTCTTTTGGGTTTGTACATGTGGTACTTGTGGTATTGTTTAACCTTTGCATATACATTATCCTTCTATCAATCAAATCATAATCCTAATTTCAGATATTTCATAATCCTTTATTGCATTGCGTTAGTTCTGTTTCTGTTCATCACGTCAGTGTCGTCTTTGAGCGTCTCAGCTTCATATGGAGCCAGGACTTAGGCGCTGAACAGTGAATGACAAACTTGCGGGAGTAGGGCCCAGAGCTAGAAGTCACAGCCTGAAATTGACAGGGGAAAAATAAGAAAGGTTCACAAGATTAATATCAACAAATTTAAAGACATCTAACAAAACAAAACAAGAAAGAGCATCAAAAGCCAAAATGCTCCTGCAAAGGCAGCCAAAGAATATGTATTGGAGCAACAACAAAAAAGTTATTTATTCACTGCTCAAAGAGTATAATTTTTAACTTCATTCAATGGGGTAATTCTGAGCAGTTCCAGCCAACCCCTTCAGGTTTTGGGTTTTTCCTTTTTGTTTTGCAAATGTACAGTCCAACACTCTTTCTTTAGACTTACATGTAAATCAATACCCCAAGAATGATTCCTTGGCTCAACCCCAAAAAAGTGAAAGAAGTTTACTGAGTAGTCTAATCAGTAATTCTGACAGCTAAATCTTGTGAAAGGAAACATTTTTTTTCAAAACAACTTTAGAATCAATTAACATTACCACGGTGGTTTTTACAAGATTCTTATGTGTACAACTACAAGTACTGCAGTACAGTGTACTATTCAAACTGTATCAAAGCGTACTACAAAATGACTAGTAAATTTACCTGATTGTCGTAGTTTTTATGTCTATACGGTGACAGTCTCCATTCAGGATTTTGGTCGGGTTGAGGGTGGGAGTAATCACTCCCTGTTGCCATGGGGATAGTCATAGATACAGCTGCACTCCGGGGTCCATACGTAGTCCTACTTACGCTGATATGGGAGAGGGGGGAGAACAGGGGGAAAACGGATTTAAAAATCTCAAAAATAAAATAATGCTGAATCGGGTTGCATTATTCTGCATCAGAATATTTCTTCTCCTTTCTTACTTAAATTTAAAAAAAAAATGATATTTCACCTTACTGTTTCTAATGTACCGTACTTTAGTTATCAAAAAAGAGTGCTTAACAAAACACAAGTACACAAATTAAAAAAAATGTTAAAATGATAACAATATGGTCTCTTGTGTAGAAAGATATCTAATAAAAGGGAAATCTAAAAGACTCCCACAAATATTCAGTTTGGCAATAAGTAAACTACATACATGTATGGAAAAATATTTAAGAGACTGGAAATATTTTGGTGAATAATTTCATGTCTACCGGTATTCAGTTTCATACCAGAGCATTGTAATTGTCACCAACATAATAGAAGGGTTGATTAAAAAACACACAAAACATACCAACATGTAACTGTATTTCTCATTTTGGGAATATTGCAGGTGTTTCATAGAATACTATAATTGTGTTTGCAGCAAAATCTCAATCACAACTACAAGCAAGCTATGGTGCTTTTAGCAGACACACAGAACCTCACAATAAAGACTAAACAGTACTCTAACTTTGTTTGTACATCTGATGGGTAAACATTGCAGTGACTGAAACTTTCATTCAATCAAATAAACTTCTTGTGAGGCACTCAAGATGGTTGATTTAAGTGATCACACTGTTTAATCATTTTAAAAGAAAATACAAATGATTTCCAATTTAAGAACGGTTTTGAAGACAGCAAAACAAATCAAGCTGAACAAAAGTGTAAATCCCTTTGACACGACAAACAAAAAGATATGTGCTATCACACCCGTGTCCTTCTGTTCTAATACATTGTATAGTGGACGTAAATACATTTAGGTTACCACAGTATTGCAACCAAGACTCCAGCGTTCAGGATCATTCTCTACTTTTTTTGTCCACATTCCATTTTTGTGAAACATACAAAGTCACTTACAACAGCTTTTTATGAATCTTTTTTTACCATACCTCTGTATAATTTTTGGAAATAAATAATTACCCTTTCATGGTTTGTAAATGACTGATATACTTTAATAGAATTCACCCTCAACCCTTCCTCTATCCACAAAAAAGAAGCCTTAAAAGTCAGTTTTATATAAACAAAAACATTAGTGTCATTTTAGACACTGAAATTCAATGGTTTTATTAAAAGCAAAGTGCATGTCTTTCAACAACCCGTAGATGAATAGTGCATTATCCAAAACTTGCACACACAAAATTGTTTTGGTTGATGTAAAAGTCTATGAACAGCTCACAAATGTCAATTGTATGTTATGCATGTTCATTTGTTTGATTTTGTACTAACATTATATCATGTAGGAATCAATTTTTTTACTTCTTTTTTGTTAAACTCCACAACTATTACATTTAATTCAACTTTTTTGTTGTTGTTTATCCCATGAACTTTTAGAACGAACACTCTACTTTCAAGATTTGACTCTATTATTAGCTTTGTAAGGTAGTCATCTCTCTGATAACTTTCTCACATAACAAGATTTCTATTGTGCATTAAGTCTAGCCTGAGGGAACACTTTACCCGGAGGGATAAATCAATATTATTTTATTCTGTATTGATTTTTCGACTGTGAAAGAGAAAAGCTACATGCCACAATAAGACTCGCTGTGAAACTCACTGTTTTAACTGTAGAAATACCCTATTAAAGATCTGAAAGGCGATTTGGTTTCTCCTCGCCTCTGGCAGTTAAAATGGGGGGAACAAATAAATGCATTCTTGAAAGGGCTTTACAAGAATAACACTTGGCAACTGCTGAAAAGGAGTTTCTTGCACATACATGTAAACAATATTGAGTCCATGAATATATACATGTATGTAAAATGTTGTACATAAATGTAGGGACTAGGGAAATGAGAGGAATTTCTCTGGTGTACATTCAAAATTATTTGCAGATCTACATGTATATCAGTGTTTATTTAGTAAACATAAAGTAAGAAACTATATCAATCCTTTGCATTGTACATTGATGTCAGTAATATTACAAATACAATTCCCCTCCTTCCTGTTTTAAATGCTTCTCTCAATAGGGTTAAAGCTTTACCAGCTCACATTCTACAACAGTCCTTTCATATGCCCCTTCTGTTTGTTTGTTTTTTGATTTGGCAATTTTGCCAACATTTTCAACAAAGAGGACTTTCTTCTAGCTTAAATTTAGCTTGGTTCAATTTAAGTTAGAACCTGAACTTTTAGTCAGCACTTGAGATCATCTTACATACAGTTTGTGCAATTTTGTTTGTATTTTAACCCTTTTCAAAATGCTCCAATCAATGGAAAAACAAATGAACATACCAGTTCTTTCAATCTAAATACCCCTTGATAATAAAAGTTTATCCATAGAATGACTTCCTAAACGTGAAATGTGAAAAACTATGATGTAACTGTACGTACAGTGTACATTGTATACTTAAATATATTGCGGCACAAGGGCAGCTTTGCTTCTATTTTCCTGTTAGGTTCATTGTCTTTCTTATTTTAGTGTTTTTTTTTAATTTAAAAAAAATCATAATATACACAGATACATTTTATTATCAAATCAGAAGACATAAATCAGAACTATCCTTTTCACTCTTCACACCCATAACTGGTACTTACTGTGAATAGCGAGTACTTGCTCTCGTGTTTGCTGGCTGCACCCTGACATGTATCTCCTCGTCTCCTCTCGTCCTATCTTCCACTCTCGTTCTATCATCTACTCTCGTCCTATCCTCCACTATCACCGTCTTCTCTTCCTTACTCTCCTCCGGTGTGTCCACTCTCCGTGCTGGGCTGGAGATGAGAGGGGCAAACTGGGCCTTCTTGAAGGAGGGCACGTAGATGTTCTGGGCCCGCCGGAGTTGTGCTATGGTGTAGGGAGGGATGGGAAGACGGCTGCTAGAACGGGTACTCATCCCCAACACCTTGGAATGACTGTAAATAACAATATAAAAATTTAAGTATTTAAGAACAAGAAGAGCAGCAATTAGGCCTAAAAAAAGAAAGTTGTAATGCCCTTTAGGGTCTAAAACATGGGTCGGTCGGTCAGAAACTTTTTTTTGTATTAACTTTTTTTTTTACACTCCCTCTTTGGGCTTAATATATTTCTCACTTTTGAATGCTTTAAAACATTTTTTTTTGAAAAAAACAGTAAAAAAACAAACTTTAGAGGCATCTAATGCCCTTGTCCCACTAAAAAAAAAATACACTTGTCTTCCTCACACAACTTGTAATCTTTAGTTCATCTTTTTGATAGGCTACATGTACATGTACATTGTACATCTAATACATACATGTAGCACTTTGAAAATTACCAGATGAAGAAGAAATTATGTTACTTTCATTAGAAAGAATATACATTTTTAAATTTAAGAGTTGGTCTTACACCCTGTAGTTGGTCTTGTTTGGTCTTGTTCTCACACTTTTGCAAGCACTTACTTGGATTTCTTGCTTTGTTGACTGCGAGGGCTAAGGCCGTCAAGCGACTGGCCATTGCGAAGAGCGCCCTCTGAGCGATCGCTACCTGACGTGCATGTCGACGAGACAGACCCTGTGCAGCTGAGCTTGGGAAGGCGGTAAGGAGCACTGGAACTTGGAGAGGCCGGGGTGAGAGAGTCTAGGAGGGACTTGTTGAGGAGCTCATCTTCGGGAGAGGCAAGCTTGATGTGGGGGAAGGAGAGTTCTAGTGGATCATCACTTCTGGGGGAAAATATGCAAAAAGGGATTAAAGTGTAGAATTTTTTTTCTTCTTTTTTTTCTAATGCATGCATTTGGATAGCAGCTTGAGTGACAGGTTTTCTTCTTGAAGATCATAACATAACTCTGAAGCCAGGTAGTTTGCAAGATTCATCGCTTGCAGGAATGGGTGAATACAGAATAGACTAGTATTGCTAGACATCTAATTATACTTCTACATGTAGGGCTACACATTTTATAATTTGTTTAATACCGGTGGACATCATTTTTCAGTTTTCACACAGGCAAACAGATACCGAGCAGATACATGTACATGATGTACCAAATAACTAGATATAGATCTAGATCTAGATTAGACCGAATTTTCCGTCTCTTTCGTTCGTTAGCCTCTTATTGGGGTAGGGTCGGCCGGCTCTCTCTTTAGAGACGGAAGCCGTTTATACACATGTCCTTGCTAACGCCACGGCCAGTCCTGGTCGTAGCGTTTTGCCCCCAAAATCCCCCAAAATGTCATTTTACCTCGAGCATGTTATATTGTAAATTAGGCCTAGGGTCTAGGCTATAATAAATCAGTTCCACTTACCAACTTGACTGAAATAATCAGTTTGATAGTCCCTTTTTAGGAAATTATGGGTCAAAATCGGAATCCATGTTGAAAAAGATTTTCAAAATGGATTTCGATTTAGACCCATAATTTCCTAAAAAGGGACTATTAAACTGATTATTTCAGTCAAGTTGGTAAGTGGAACTGATTTATTATAACCTAGGCCTAATTTACAATATAACATGCTCGAGGTAAAATGACATTTTGGGGGATTTTGGGGGCAAAACGCTACGACCAGGACTGGCCGTGGCGTTAGCAAGGACATGTGTATAAACGGCTTCCGTCTCTAAAGAGAGAGCCGACCCTACCCCAATAAGAGGCTAACGAACGAAAGAGACGGAAAATTCGGTCTAGATCTAGATCTAATAATGATTGGTGATGTTGATCATGATCAACATCTTATTTCATATTGACACCAAGCCCTAGGTGATGATCATAACCAACCTATCAATTATCAATATCAGTCACTAATAATTACCCCTCAGAAGTCAGTGGCTCAGACTTTAGAATTCAGATCTTGACTTAACAAGTTAGGGTCTAACTGAGTTACATTAAAGTTAAATAAAAAAATTCATCAGATAATCTGGCCCTGGATTAAACTTGTCAATCTCTGCCATGCCATGGTCATGGCTCAGACCGTTTTGTTGTTGTTGCAGCTTTGATCAAAAACAAACAACAACGACAAAGGAGATGCCCTGGAATATTGGATTGATGAACTTCAAAAAGTCGCTGCGCGCCGAAGCGGGGGACAACCGAACTTGGGCCGTCCTATACGGCCAGCGACGGGGCACAAGAGAGGAACAGGTACCGGGCCGAGGCCAAGCAAGTGAAATAAATTTGGTAGACGCAAAACATTACAAAAACTGTTATCTTTTACTCACCTTCCTCCTGGTAAATATGGCTGCATATCTCCAGATGAAAATTCACATGTTTTATTCCTAAATGTCAAACAAAATACAAGAACAGAAATAGAATTTAATTCGTTGCGGTCACAATCTCGACGCCATACTAGTTGTCAATGGTAACCACGTGACCCGATCAATAATGCAAATAAGATCGCGACTAACGGCACACCTCTGTAAAGTTTTGAGACGAACAGACACTCAACCAAAAACTTTTCATTGATTATTAAGTCTTTTGAAACTTGAGAGGTTCTTTGTTATGAGTACAACCTTGGTGTCATTCATCGCTTCAGCTTGAGCTAGTAATTATTTTCACTCTCATCAAACAAGCGACGGCATCTAGATAAACGTAGATATCGATTTGTGGTGTTGCTGTTTATTCAGTCGAATACAACTTATATACAAATCTTAAACTTTGTTTCCCTTTGTTTTAGAGTTGTGGGCCTCTAAAAGCGAGAAAAAATGTAGGGAGCCACCATGTTTTTAAATAAAACTCCGCGCATTTGTCGACATTTGGATATTTGGAGAAAAAACTGAAAGCAAAATGAAATGACTTCCTCTTTCATCGTTCAGATTTAATTCGGACACAGGCTTATTCTTGTTTGTTTCTTTGTTTCTTTGTTTCTTCCTCTCTTTGTTTAATTATTTATTTTCCCTTTTCTTTTCTTCCTTCTGCATGTTTTCTTCTTCCACCATTTTATTATTCTTCTTCTTGTTTTCCTTTTTCTTCTTCGTCTTTTTTTTCATTCCTATAGCTCTTAGCTCAGTCTATGTCTTCTTCCTCCTCGGTCTTTCTCCTTCTATTATACTTTTTCCTCCTTGTTTTTTAAAACAATTATTCCTCTTCTTTCTTTTGCATCCCTCCTCCTTGTTTCCACCTCCTTCTGCTATGTTTACAAGTTCTTTTCCTTTTTCTCATCCTACTCCTCTCCTCGAGGTGTCTTATTTTCTTTTTCTTTTTTTCCACCTCGTCCATTTCTTCTTCTTTTTCTCGTTCTTGTCGTCCCCTTCCTTTCCCCTTCCCCATCCTTTCCCCTTCCCCATCCTGCTCCTTTTTCTAGTTATTCCTAACGCATTTCTGACAATATTCTTCCTCCAAATAATTGCTACATAGACAATCTGAAATCGAGCTTGGGAGCAATACTAATAAGCGATTGATATTCAATAGTCGATTGATGGCGGTAGACCATATTTCATCCATACCATCGTGTACCAGACATTTACTGCAGATGAGAGCATTTTGCATAGGCCTAATTTAAAAATCAACAATTTCAAAGTTCAGGTTACTTGATTTTCAAAGGAAGATCTTCACCTCTTAATATCCATAAAGATAATTTTTTTGTATTTTGTTTAATTATATATTTTCCCATTTATTAATTTCATTCATTGTAACTGAGGAAACAAAAATTGCCCCCATAAAGCTTATGTATAACAATTAAATTAAAAGTAACACCTAAATAGCACATACATGACATTTAAATGACATGCAATTAAACAGAACACATTAAAGGTACTATATCCCATTTGCTGGCCAAACAAAAATTAAAAGGTTATATTCCAACGACATTTGAAAGATAATATTAATTTAGAATTTCCCTCAAAAAGAAATTAGGGCTTGAAAAATGTCTTTAAGTGGGAAATAACGACCATTTGTTGTCGAATCGAATTTATTGATTGCAATTACTGAAGTAATAGTCTGATTTTCAGCTCCTTGTACCGAACGGTCGTGCGTTTTGTGCCTCTCAAAGATTCAATCAGTTTAATAATTTCATTTCAAGAATTGGGTTATTGAATATAGACAAATGCTCCTTTACAGCTCATTTTATGTATGTTTTTACCAAAGAAAAAAAAAGAAGTCGGTCAGTCACTCAATAGTGTCTGACAGTGAAGTCTAGAAAGTAAACAGGATTCCTTGCATAATATGAATGACACTGCTAACGTTAATAAATCCTGCAAAGTTTTACAGATTTTGATGTTGGCTGCAAATGAGAGAAAGAACCTTTAACATTTAAAAAACACAAAGTATACTTCATAAAAGCTTGTGTCGGATACACCATTAAAAAACACCATAAAAAGGATGCCCTTTCAAATCAAGATACATTTTTAATAACGAAAAGAAAAAGCCGAAAAATACCCCATCCCTTGAGAACTTGATCTCACTTAAAGGCTAAGTCCATTAATAATTTGCCTTTAATCGATGCAGAAAAATAAGAGAAAAAACAGAACAAAACAAATTTGATAAAGTCGGAAAACTAAAAAGGAAGTAATGATTTTTTTGTAAGAGTATGAACAACTATAGAACTTAGAAAATCACTACACGAATTGCCAATTTGTTTTTCGGTTGGTGACGTCATTGCCTCACTATTTATCAGTTGCTTTATGTATTTTTATCCCATTAATTTCCCTTTTTATCCCCCAAAACTTGATTTCCCTATGCATCTGCCCAGGTTATATAATTATGTTGCGTGCATGACATTTCACAAAATCTTTTAAGAACTTTGAAGAATTGCTACTATTTTCCGAATATTGTATATTCATAATCATTGATTTTTATAAAGATAGTTTATAAAAATTCACATTAATAAGTAGAAAGATTTTATAAGTTGTATTATATATTATTTGTTTAATCATCACAGTTCATCTGAGTGTCAATTATGAAGTAGGATTTATGGATATGTAGGCTATCAAATTGCCCTCCCTGGTCCATAAAATTATATACACATTGCTATCAGTCCGGCCTTTTTTCGCGGCAAAAGTAGATGCCTCTATTTCGAAGAAAAAAAGAAAAAAACCAACTACACTGTTTTTTCACTTTGCGTCATGCAATAACCAAACAAACAAACCCGCCCACACTTAAAAAAATATTTGGAATGATCAATGATACATTTCATAGGCCTAGAGTTATCAAATTGAAACTCTACGATCTTTGTTCTTTCTAATTTTCTTTCTTCCTTTATATTCTGTTACCATGGTTACAGTAGGCCTACACGGTCTGCCTCTTTTAAATCACTCGCTCTGATATTATAAGTGTTTCTTTGCGGTCAGTTGATTGAATTTATTGAAAGACCAAAATAGGCAGAAACTGACTAACTGGATAAACGACTGTAAATTAATATTCCTTGCAGAGGGAAATATATTGTATGAAGGCAAGCGATTATGAAGCCATTATCTCGGGGGTTCCCCGAATCCCCACAACATCCGCGTTCCGCACGCACCCGTCATATCAAACTGAGCGCGTAAATTAATCGCTGGTTTTCGTCTCGTTCACAATTTTGTTGGTCGTCTGCTGAGCTAGTGTAGAGTCGCTGTCGCCCATGGCCGTAATTTCTCCAAGAGTTTGGAATTAAGTCATAGATCAATGGATGTCAAACCAAAGAAAATGACAAGTAAGTACTCAATTCCTAATTTCGTAAAGGAAATTTTCTTTCCGAGTTCCTTTATCCCATTTTTGCCTTTCTATTCGGTGGGGGTATTAACTCAAACTCGAGCTCTTGAATTTGACACTCTTTCAAGCAGGCTGCCCCGCGTTGCTACCAGTACGATGCGGCTAAACCGGCCTCTTCTGCATGATTCTGTGCATAATGGTTTGTGTGCTGACATTCAACTACGCGTTAATACTTGTAGGTTGTGGAGATTCTGGTCACAGCTTTGTTGCAAACTTTTGCAAATATTCCTTTCTAAACACCTTTTATCAATATCTCAGTTTATTTATTTATCTATTTTTATTTCAAGAATTTATTCATCTATGGTACATCTGTACAAGTCATATTGTATCATACACCTTTATGCAGGTTTTCTGTCTACACTGCAAGTCATATTTTGTGCTAAATCTGGAATCCTAGTCAGTTTTCTTGTGACAATGGGAAAAACAGATTTATTCTCAAATTCTAAGGAACTTGCTGTAAGTCACATGATCAAGAAAAGTCAGATTCAGACATCAAATAGTGTCAAATATAGCTGACCCCCATATTCCTAGAACTTTCTGTGGTTGAACTTTATCAATTATTTTCTCATTTTCAGTGACCCAGTTCTCTCATATTTCTAAATCCATTAAATTCGATTTGATGTCAGGACTCAGGATGGACTTTCAAGTTTCATTTGAAAATGCAGTTCTGATACTGATACAGTCTATCCATATTATTTTTTGTAACCGAGATTGCGTATATTTGAGAACATGTATAACTTTGAAATAACTATAATGCATTTAACTTGATCTTGTGTAGTAAAGGTATTCATACTCATAGGATATACAGTTCAGGTTCATGTTTTGTACTATGTAAACAGTGATCAAGGGTTAAATGACCCTCTAGACCTGTCACAATGACCCCAATTTCCCTTTGCTCATAATTCATAACAGGGCCCCTCTTGTTTTGAAAAATTTCCTTCAAATGACCTCCGAAATATATGCTAGTCTGCAGGCACAGACTCTAATTTGACACTGTACCAAATTTCTGAAAGCCTTGCCTGTAGCAGAGCCTAGCTCTGACAGTCTCTAGCTGTGAGAATTCACAGTATTGTATGATGTCAGTGTCAGCATATAGTCTCATAGTGCAGACACTGGTAAGCCATGCGACTAACGAGGGGTTGTGCCTGCAGCTCTGAAACTGAAAGGTGATTAGTTCTGTAGGCCTTTAAATATTTACCAAGGTTTGAAAAAACACGCAGAGACAGAATGTGGGCAGTGCAGTGGAGTAATTAATTAGTTCCTATGAGACGGGAGAGGCCCGAGCCTAACTAAATCGAGAAAGGTGGATTGCAAGGTGTTAGTAGAGAGGGTCTGGCTCTATCTGCCAGTGGCACAATTAAAGGTTGGGGGTGGGGGCACAACTGGCTAGGACCCCCTTAAAATCTACTTGTAATCATTCATGTATACAAAAAAGCGAAAAGTGTGCCACTAATTTTTGTATTCCTGTATTCCTGTGCCCCTATTCATTCTTGTTTACCCCATTAGGCACCTGAAAAGTGTGAAGCCCCTTTTCTTAATTTACTTGTCAAAGATTTTTCCAGGATTTTACCCCCACCTCCCCCACTTCTGCTATCAAAAACAAGTTCTCAAGTAAGTTTGAGAAAGGATTATTGTCTTACATGGAGAGATGTGATCCTCACCTCAAGCAAGGAATTCTGAGTCTTGAAAGTT